AAGAAAAAGTAGGCACTCTCGGTGGGGTGGCACTCTCGGTGGTGGAATACGTTATATATATATATATATATTCAGAGTAAGAATTCGTGCGTGACGTGATTACTATGTATGTAGACTGGGCAATAACAAACTATAGCACACATATACACACACACACATACACATATGTATACATACACTCAACATATACACAGACAAAGATAACAATAAGACAACCAAGAAAGCGCAACAGCAATCCTAATGCAAAATAAAAAGAGAAGAGAAGGGAAGAAATGGTTTTATTATTGTATCGTGGAATGAATGGTATCTAAACTAGACTAAACTAAACGAAAGGGAGGGAGGGATGGATGTATCAAAGTCAAAGTCAAAGTCAAAGATGAAGTATGAAGGAATGAAGTTGAAGAAAGAAGACACAGATAGAAAAAAAAACTCTCAGCTCCCCTCCCCCCCCCTAACGCTCTCGCTATACACCTACAAACAGTAACCAAGGGGGGGGGAGCAAGAAGGAGTTTCTTTGTTACAAGTGCAAGTGTTCTAAGAAAAGAAAAAGAAAAAAAAGAAGAGGCCATAACGTCGTGTATATATAAGAAGAGAGGGTTTAGCGCAAAACCAGCCAAAGAGCCATAGAGAGAGAGAGAGAAAAAAAAGAAAAAAAGAAGACGCCAATGTGTTTTTATACACAAACTTATATACATACACTACAAAACAAAAAGATGAGAAAAAAAACCACTTTGATCACATCCAGAACAAAAAAAAATCTCCTCACCCTTTGCCACCATTCCCATCCCCTATACCGAAGCAAAAGAAGAAGAAGAAGAAGAAGAAGAAGAGAAAAAAAAACTCCCCTGCCCCCACCATCATAGCCCAAAACACCATGCACCCCTTTTGAAGAAAGAGAAGAAAAAAAGATAAGAAGATGAAGAAGAAGAGGGAAAGAAAGAAAGAACGAATGAATGAATGAAAAAAAAACGCCACTTTCCACACACCCCTTTTTTCCCACCAACACCAAAAAAAGGGGGGGGGAGGGGGAAGGCAAAAATTACCCTTTTGCGCCACGCTTCCCAAGAAAACATCCACACACACACGGACGAAAAAACAAGAAAAAAAAGAGTTGGAACGCCATCCGCCTTCTTGACTGAAACAAGCTTTTGAACTTTAGTTGGTAACACGTTCTGAAACGCGACCGCGTTCGATTTGCTCGACGCGGTCTTTGGAGTCGGTGCGCTTCATGCGGGAGCGAGCAAGGGCGGCAGCGGCTTCTTCGTGTTCGCGAGCCAAGCGGCGCAAGGCGGCTTTGGCCTCTTCGAGCGGAATGCTGTCGTTGCGCTTGGGACTGCTCTGTCGTGAGGGGCGCTGGCTTGGTGCGGTCGAAGTGGGCGTCGAGGGTTGGTAGCGGATGCTGTTTGCGCGGGTGCTGGCGACGCTAAAGCCGTTCTTGGTGCTACCAGGACGACTGCTGCGGAACTCTGTGCTGACCGACTCTTGGCTGCGGTTGTCAGTGTCGCGCGCAGGAGAGTTCCTCCGAGACCGGACGTAGTTGGGGTCGTCGCGCTTGATCATATGGCGGAACTGCTGTGTCTGCGAGTCCAACACCCAGCGTTGATAGCCAGTCGCGCCATTGGCATTGCCTGGGATAAACGTGTCGTTTTCGTCCCAGCACTTGATCCAGGCCACATTGTCGACTCGAAAGAAGCCGGCTCGAACTTCTTTGCCCTTTTCGTTCTTGATCATGACCGTCTTCTTTCGCTTGTAGAACTCTGGCTCCAGGAAATAGCGGCCGAGCGCATGGGAATACTTGAGCGGGATGGGCCTCTCCAGGGGAATGTATTGCTTTCCGTCGGATCCCTTGTAGGATGGCTTTGCCTTTTCCTCTGGCTTGGATTCGTCCTTGGGAGTCGCGATCAAGAACCAGCCTCGACCAGGGATGCTCTCGTATTGACCGGGCACGGGGCTGTCCCACTCTTCAACAACTCTTGACAGGTCGGCCTTGTTGGTCTTGAACCATTTGTGCGGCGCAAAGGCCTTTTGAGTGGCAACAAAGAGGTTGGGCGCCATGCCAGTGGTAGTGGTGTAAACAAGAAAAACGCGGTGGTCCCGGTTACTGCTGTAGGGGTAAAGTGGTCCACCGGGGACAGTCGGCAGTAGTAGTGGGTCCTTGAAATCTGGGGGCGGCAGATGCTCGAAAACAACGAGGCCTTGGTGAGAGGAGCAAGTTGCCTTTTGTCCTACAGCTAGAGCTGAGCGACGTGCCGACTGTCAGTGGGCTTGAAACTTGACACGAGTCGGTGTTGACAATTGAGTTTGGAGGACGGGATATGGCAACGACGAGGAAGTTCCGGGAGATAAGCTTGTTGTGAGTGTGGGCGAGTGTGTGCGTGTGTGTGACGAGCCGAAGACGGCCGGGCACTGCGTGCAGAAGCACGAAAGGAGCGAGGCAAGCCTTCGAGCTGGATTCCACCGAGTTGGGCGTGAAAGGAGGATTCTCGAAACAAAGGCTCTCTGGGGTGACCGAATATTTGAAGTACGGGAGCTAAAATAGTGCCAGGCCTGAAAATCTTTCCCAGGCTGACGGAAGGGAAATTGGGTTGCGCTTCGACCTAGCCGTGGGTAGAGAGCTGTGCGGGCCATGGACCGGGGGAGCGACAGTCAGAAAATGGCATGCGCATCTAAGCAGGCGGTTGTCTGGGACGCGGTGCCCGATGGTATCGCATGGCATGGCATGGCATGGCAACGTCGGGAAAAACCAACGGGGCTCTCCCTACTTGCCGACCCAGGGCGAGGGCTGGCGGCAATCAGCTTCGCCCAGCACGACACGTTGTCCGACTGCGTCGCCTGCTTTGCAACGACGGGTGTGCTGATCGCGGTCGTGGCATGTGGGCGACCGCATGCGTATCTCGCTCCCCGTCGCCGCAGCCCACCTCTGGCAGAGGGAGGGGGGCCATGGAGGGCCAATCACGGCGGGCTGCAGCCACTCGTGGACGCGGCAGGGTGGCGGGCGAGGAGGCGGGCGTCTTGTCGAGCAGGCGGGCTGTCTGGGAGTAGCAGGGCAGCCGGGCGGCAGGGCAGGCACAGACAGACAGACAGACGGATGGGGGGGAGCTCCATGGATGGCGGTGTGATGCTGGGTTGAGGTGTGCGGATGCGGAAGGGAAGGGAGGCGAGTGGGCCCAACTGCCTACCACCGCTAGCGCCCACGCTCAACACGCCGCCAGAGGCAGCGCAAAGCAAGCAAACCCAGCCAGAAACACGCGTATCGACGTCGAGCCTTGGGAAATTCAAGGGGGGCCCGCAAATAATACGGCCTTGACCAGCGGGGCCACGCGCTTCCTGGCCCTGTCACTGTCGCCGCTGTCGTCGTCCATCACCCTCTCGCTGGCCCTGACCCCGTAAAACACCATCAAAACCCCACAAACACCAAGCCCGAAACACAAGCTGCCCACCGTCGCAGGCCCGAATACACTTACATACGCCCAAACCCCATCTTCCTTCTGGAAGCTGCCGCTGCCGCTGCCACGACACGCGCTCAGCCACAAAAGCCCCGGGGTCTTTGCGGCTCTGGCGCGACTCAGATGCGCCACGGCTTTATTTTGTCCCCCCCCCCCAGCGCTGCCTTATCAGCAACCAGCAGCAGCAGCAGCATGCATGTGCAGCAACTCGTAACCTTCTCTCGTCGACCTGGGGGGGAGGGGGAGGGGGCGGTGAGGTTGGAGCGAGCTGAAGGCACCTCGCCCATGGTCCCCGACCCGGGGCTGATAGATAGGCTTATGCACCGCCAAAAAAACAGGTTCCCAGAATAACCAGACGTGGTCGCTCTGGATAGCGACACGGGCACTTGCACGGGCACTTGCACGGGCACTTGCGCCCATGGGCCTGGCCCGCCATGCTGCGCCTCGTGTCACTGCGCCTGACAGTATGCGACTTGCAAACCTACCTATACACCGGACTCGGATGGCGGGCGTGACAAACCCACTGCCCATCCACTGTCAGCAACACCATGCCATGTGAAAGTTTCCCATTTCGCCAACACCCATCCGATGCTTGGCGCAGATGATGTGTATACGGCCTGTCCAATCTGCTTGCTCACCATATACTCGATGCGCCTCACGCGACGCAGCCCTCGGGCGTCATCGGCAACAGAGACCAAGACTGCCCTACAACACCTATGCCTACACAGCCAGGCCAGCCATCAGGGCGCCTGTCGCGTAAAGCACCCCGTCCAATCGCAATCCCACATCACGCATCCCTACGTCACGGTAAACACATCGCCTGGGCTGGTAATCTTTTGGCTCCTTTTTCATTGCATTCCTACGGCTTCTGTCCTTTCATGTCCTGGGCCATGCCGCAGTAGCGTGTCGCAATCTTGTTTTCAAGTGCATGCTTCTCCTCGTACCGTATCAATGGGTACTGGTACTGTGAGCCGAACAAGATGAAAAGCCTTCCCATTGAGATCGTAACTAATCAGAGAGACGCCTTGTATGCCCCGCCCCAAAGTGAAAATCCACACATTTCTACGACTCGGTCTTGACGCGGGCCTTGCCGTTGGTAACCTTGACACCGAGTTGCTTTGCGCGGGCGATGATGTCGATGCGCTTCCGTGCTGATACGGCGTGGGCGATCCTGCCGACATGGTTAGCAGCCTGCCTCGTGCACAACGTCCCCCGGGCAAACCTACTCTGCGGCAAAAGTGCTGTTGTGCATAAGGAGGAGGTCAACATCGGCGACTGCACAAGTTAGCGGGCGTCCGTGTATGCCGCAGCAATCAGCTTCAACCATACCGTTGTTGACGACAAACGCCTTGTGGCCGCTGGGCATCATGTGGCGCGTCTTCTTGTTGGAGCCGTATCCGATCTGCGAGGCGTTCCGTCAGCCCTTGTCCTCCCAGACATTTCCCTTTTCTCCAAGCAAAAAAAATTTCCTCTGCGAATCGCGTGGTCATGGCAGTCGTACCTTGGGCATGGCAGCTCGGCCCTTGAATCGCCTACGGACGGCGCTGTCGATACCCTTGGGCTTGCGCCATGATGGGTCGACGCCTACCCATTGTCAGATCCTGTTTCCTCAACTCCCATTTCCCAAATCATGTCTCTTACACTTGAAGCGGTCCGACTGGTGGCGGTTGAAGCGCTTGGTGTCTGCAAAACGGAATACGTCAGTCGCGAAATTTCGACCTCATCGAGGGCAAAGGTGCCGGCGTACGCTTCTTGACGATCGGGACGTGCTTCTTAGCGGCGACCATCTAACAGAGAGTCAGTAGAGTCCCAGCAAGTCCATTTGCCGTGGGTTACGCACTTTGACTGCTGTGTGGTTAGTTTGTCGTGGGAAACTGGACGTTGTCGTGGTGCAGCGAAAATCAAGCCCGGCACTGTTGGCTCTGCTAAGACGCTAAGCACGCTTAAGCGAGACTGCCCTAGCCACACCAGAGAGGCGCAACCACCCTCTCCCCCTCTCCATCCCCGCCTCTTGGCCACCATCAAGCAACTCAGACGCAGCCATGTATTTTCTTCACACCGCAATCCGCCTGTCGCGGAAATACCACCGAATCCTCTAAAAAGCCGCAAAATGTGGCGTATTCACTGATGAAAACCCCTCAATGCATGCAGCCCAGGTTGCAGATGGATGCTCCGTCCGCTTGCTGGACCCACACCAGCAGCTACAATAGTGGCTGAGTCCTACACCTATTGCGCCAAAAACTCCTCCCATGCACACATGCGTACAAGATGCATATCAATTACTCATGTCGAGCTACTCTATCTACTAAGGCATACGTACGTCCCATCCAAGTGCCGCAAAGACCGGCCAAGGGTATGTTATGCTCCCGTGAATCTCGTAATCATGTACCAAGTAGACCCGCCTTCCGACGCCCGAGCCGCCATCAACTATCCCAGTACCAAGTCTTTTCATCTACCGTAACTCCCCGCTAGTCAGCCCAAGTGAGACTCCAATCATCAATGTCCGTCGTCGTCGTCGACACGCCTCAGTACTCCTCGTCCATGGCCTCCTCCTTGGTGTCCCCACGCTTCTCCTTGACCCACTCGACAAACTCATCAATGACAGACGGCCACGAAGACTCCTCGCTCCAGAAGCTCATAGCCTCATCCTCCAGCGTAAGCTGTGCAAACTTGAGTGTCTCGTTCCACATGTCCTTGTTGACGCTCTTCTTCCATTCCGAGTTGGTGAACTCTGTCCACCAGCTCAGCCATGGCGTGCTGTCCGTCGTCCACTTGACTGGCGACAGTGGCGATGTAAATAGTACCTCCCAGAACACCCCCGCGTTATCCAGTGGCACCGCCTTCTGGCCTGGAGCCTTGGCGACGAAAAATGTGTACTTGTACACCCGAGTGAAGAGTTCCTTGTTGTTGGGGAGGTCCTGTTTCAGACTCTGCATATACGCCCTTTGCTTGTCGAGAGTGTCGCAGCTGTCCCTCGGTCAGAATTTCGCTACTTTTGCATCCAAAAGTCCATGTCATCTAACTCACTTGCGCTCGAACCAGCCCTTTACGAAACCCTCACGGTGCATCTCGCCCATGGCCGGTGTCTGGATGATCTCAAGAGTGGCTAGCGAATCTAGGCCTTCGGCATGGACGCCTATATCCTCCAGGTATGTCATAGTGCCTTCGGCTCCGATGATGTCTTTGTCTTGGGCATCGGCCTCTCTGTACTTGTCGAACAGTGTGTTAAGGGCAGCCTTAGAAGCAGCAGTCGTTGCCAGACTGCCACTGCCGTCGACACCACTGCCGTAGTAACTGTAACACGACGTTAGTATTTATCCATCCAATCCAAAATGTGCGAAACTAGAAGTTGCATAGGAGGAGGGGTGAAGTGCACAGACTCTTCCGTAGTGGACAGAAGAAGCGATAGCATGACGGGAGGGAGTTTGCTGTCGACATCCTTGGGCTTATAATCAGGAGACTGTCGAAGTTCGATAGTGCTCCTGATGACGCCGTAGATTCTACACTGATCCACACGAGCTAGAGAGTGGAAAAACGCCAGACGCCCGCGTGGTGCATAGGGGAAGTTGCTCTCTGGAGCAGGGCCAAACAATTTGCCGAGTCGATGTTTTTGGCGCTCTGTCAAATTTTCGAGAAAGAACTCGTACGCAACGCCATCACAAATGGGTATGTTCCATGTGTGCGGTTCAAGCTTTCTGGACTTTTCGGCTAACTTGAAGTCCTTATAGAACTGATTGTTGTGCCGCTGATCAATGTAGTACGAGCTAAGCTGCGGATTCCGAAGTGCTAGCAGGTGCTGTTCATACGCTTGGTCTTCCTCGTAGTCATAAATATCTTGTGTGTCTGAATCAATAACGTCGTCGCCAGAACCGCCTCGCAACGACACGACGGCTTGTGGACGCAAGTGGATTTCGGATGCAGACGTCCTCAAGTGAGGGAACGTGGAAGCCTGCAGTAGTTCCAGCAAATCAAGCAGCGGCGAACCCGATGAATGAGTGGCGTGGCAAGGAGCCGTAAAGTTGCGTATGCTGGATGACGTGTCTGAATGGGTGCCTAGGCTTCCGTACCGAGCGTGACGAGACGATCCGAATTGACCCTGTGGCGGAACGGCATTTTTTGAAAGGGCAAGAGTATTGTACAGCACCTGACTGAGGTGTTCAGCTTGCAGGCGGTGCTGTTCAACGTGGAAAGGGCGTGACCCGGCCGGTAGCTGCGAGACAGTGGGTGAGGCAGGCCGCTCCTTGATATTCTCCAGATCTTCTTGCTCAGAGTCGGACTGATTGGCGCGAGGACGACAGCGGTTGTGAGATGGATGTGCAGTCACTGCAGAGGGCAGCTCAGCGGTGGAGTCTAGGAGAGTTGTCGAACTGGATGGCTGGTAGATACTTTGTGAGGAACCAATAGTGCGAGAGCTCGAACATGATTCCCCAGAGCTGACGCGCCCTCGTCGATTGCGCCCTGCAAGCTGCCTGGCTCTGTCCTGCGAGGAACCGAACATGGCGGGGTGAAACAGCTGCTCGGACTCCAGCAGCTCGATGTAATGATGCCAAAGTCGCCTCTCTGTCTGCGGTATTGCTACAGTCGTTGTATATGCCTTGTATCCGGCCAAATGATCGACGCGAGGATGGGTGACGAAGTCTGGTGGTTTGTTGTGGCCGGGTTATATATGGGAGAAGGTGTAGTGTTGTGTGTATGGCCCGAAAGAAACAGCGATACTTCAACTGAGCGGTAAAAACAGGCCCATGGTGCAGGAACTCTCTTGGGCAATGCTCTTGCCATGTGCCGTCGCTCGTGGTTACTCCCGTTGTGCATCCGCACAAGACAATGGCGCTCTGGCTTTGGTATATGCTACCACTGGCACCTGGCATGCCGTGGATACGGAGTTCATGTGGCCAGTCATGCTGTTTTGCGCAGTCTCGCCCCAAGGCGTGCTCCAAGCAGGAGCCCACATTTGCAGGGCTGGTCGGTTCGTCGATGGGTCGATGTTGTACGAATAGTCCACTATGCTCCATGTGCAAGGGCTGCTTGTAGCGAGAAGAGTGTCGCCAACAGCGGGAGAATATAAGAGAGACACTACTTACGCGTTCACGGCGCTCTGTGCGTCCCATCCATAGCTCTTGAGCGTCCTTATGGCCGAGTTGCGGTCGACCTGGGTGAAGTTCATGAATTGCTGGATGGCAGCCTTTTGCTGGGAGCTGTATACTGCAGGCATCGTGTATTAGCGCCGTATGCAAGACAGCTGGGGCAAGGAGTGGTGGCAGGCTGGAGGTGCACAGCGGTGGCGGGGGGTGGTGCTTAGCAGTGTACAGCAGCAGCAGCAGACAGGCGAGCGGGAGGGCAGCGCCTAGGGCGGGCAGGGCAGGCAGGGCAAGGGGGAAAAAGGCAGCAGGAAAGGAAACAGGTGTAGGCAGAGGAGGGCGGGCCGTGTCTGTTGCAGGCCAGTCCAGTCGCGCGCGTCGAATTACAGAACGGAGTCGAATGGTAAGTTGGCGGGCGGGATCTTGGGCAAGGTGTGACGCACTGAGGCATCAAGCGACCGACCCCGCCGACAGCCCACCATTGGCCCCCTGGCCTGTGGCGCGGCAAAGCCTCGGACTTAAGGCGCCAGCGACCAGGATTGCGACCTCACCACCAGAAATGGCGATGATATGGCGGCGAGGAATACGGCAGCACCGCCGGGAAGGGGGGTGCCACGACGGCGGCAGACAGCAGCGACTTACCCTCGCCCGCATCTAGCGCGGCCTTGTTCTTCTTGCCGGGAGGGACCACGGGCGCGCCCGGCTCCGTGTTCTTGCGCTTGGGCGGCATCGACGAGGACGGGCGGGCGTCGTCGTCGTCGTCGTCGTCGTGGGCGTCGCGAGAGGGGCGTCGTGGTTGGGCGGGCTCAGCGCTGTGCGACTCCGGGCTGCGGTTGGCGATGCGAGGAGGACTCGACGAGGAGCGCTTTGGGCGGGCGGGAGGGAGCTCGTGCGCCTTGTCGCTATCTGTGCGCTTGAAGCAGAGCAGGCGGCGGGCCAAGCCGTGCAGAGGGGCCAGAGGAACGACCATAGCAAGGGCTGCTGGCTGCTGGCTGCTTGCTCTTCACTCTTCACGCTTCACCGGCAGGCGAAACCGTCATGGGCGCGCGTGCAATGCGGTGAAAGGCGTTTGCTCTTTTCAACCCACCACAAGCCTCTCGAGTCACGCCTCGAGCCCCATGCCGGTGACAATGCACCGCATCATGCGCGCCGCCCTTCCACCGAGGCCCCTTCACTGACCGGCCAAACCGCAAAAGCGACGCATCCATCTCTGGAAACCATCAAAGTCATGATTCAATCCCCGCCGTTCGGGTGACGACAATGCCTCGTCCGCGCACCAACCACAGCCTGCTGATTGCACTCATTGCACACGTCCATTCGCAAAACTACCTAGATTCGTACAATATCAACCCGTGTTCGTTCCCAGAGCTTGTGCGCCACGGCAATCCCCTTCTCCCTCTCGGCCTCGTCGACACGAGCGCGCTGGACAATCACCCGTGCGTACGTTCCAGCTGCGCGTCGTTTGGCCAATGTGCCAGGATTGATGACCAATACAGACTCGACCACCTGGTGCTTTGTCAGTATCTCCCATTACCACGGGTTACCGGGCTGCGTACCTTGACCGTGCCTTGAAGCACACTGGGTGTAATCAGTATGTCGGGCCGTACATTGAGCATCTCGCCCAGTTTGAGGTAGCTGGTGTCTAGCATTGTACCAAGGGGGAGGAATGGACTAGGCGTTTGCTCCTCGTCTGCCTCTTCGCCTTCCTTGGCCTCACTGTTGGCCGTGTCCTTGATCACCTTCTCCTCGATCGGCGCAGGCATAAACTGTTGCTTTTCCCTCCCTGTCGGTGGGAATAGAGGCAGGAAGCTCCGTTGCTCAATCAAGTTGCGCGCACAGCGTTCGTAAATGTTGGTTGCTCGCGCCTTGCCGCCTGCAAGCTCTTCTCTGCGAAGCATGTCAAGGTTGTCAATCGAAGACATGCCTACCGTCATCTCATTCATGCTAACAGTCATTGGGTTGGTGACGCACTGCACCATCTTCCCCGCAGCTCCCAACCCGAGCTCCTTTTTGACGAACTTGTCCTGGGGGAAAGCTGCATGGTGGTGGTGTGCATCCCGCAAGCTGGGCACCAAGAGAACATTGCATGTTGGCACGCGCTTGTTGAAGTTTTGAATGGCGCTGGAGATGTGACGGCGGAAGAGATCAGCCATAGTCGCCTGGTCTGGGTTTGCGTTTGGTGGAGCATCAAAGTCGCCAGACCGAATTTGAGCATGTTCTGCATCAAGAAAAGGGCCAATGAGGATGATGGAATCCGCATACGCCTCGGCAGCCTTGTCCAAAAAAGCATGCAAAGGCGCAAAGTCTAGGTTTTGGTCCGTCGTGTAGGGCCCAGACGCGATCATCAGAGTCAAGGGTCGGACGTTGTCTGGGTCGGAATCGGGCGTGTCAAGGTATCGCGTGTTGATGGCGTCTAGCTCGTCTGGTTTCGTAGCAGGCGGATTTAGAAGCGGTAATGAGAGGACTTCGGAGACTACGAACGAGTCGCCTGATGCATTGGTGCCGCGCAGAGCGACAATCTGGCCGGGGAAGAAGTTGTATGACGAAAGCCCCTCGACGTTCAGCGGTATGCGGCGCCCCGAGCCATGCCGTCGTGAGCCTTCGAGAACTATTGACGCTGTATTGAGCTTGCCGTCGCTCGTGTCGCACGCTATCCTTCCGACGGCGATGATCTCGCTCGGGGACGGATAGTTGGGATTTCCAAATGCGCTTTCGTCCAAGCCTGTAGATTCTCGGAGGATATCGCGGAACTCGTCAATCCTGTCGTCCAATACTTCTGATGCTTCTGAAAGTTTCATCGCCATGGTCCGATACGAAAACTTGGACATGTCTGTATTGGCTTTGAGCTTGATACGGGGCTCCTTTGGCTCCTCCGACGGCGGTTCCGGGACGGGAATATCTCCCTGCATGAACTGTTCTGTAATGTCGTTTGCGTTGGTGCGGGAGGCAAAGTCAAAAACACTGCACAGTCGTTAGAAAGCTCTGCTGTGGGAGTGCTTGGATTCTTACGGTCCATCTGAAGCCTCCGTCTTTGGTGCCATGAAGCCCCCGGGTGAACTCATCTCATGTGCCTTGTTCGCCTTACCTCCGGGTGTCTGGAAGTTGGACTTGCGTTTGACTGTGCTGCCATTGACACTGCCCGCAGCGCCCTGGCGTGGTGTGTTGGGAACGAGCCCCTCAAGTCTGTATTCAGTTAGAATACACCCTGCGCAACCTGACATTCTGCTGACATACATGTCATACATGTCCCCACCCTTTGCTCTTGGTGTCGGTTGGCCCCGCTTGACCTCGTTCCTTTGCTGGGCCTTCCCCCTGCTCTCTCGCTCCAATGCATCTTGTATGGTCTTCTTGAAGTCTTGTGCAGTCTTGACATCCATCTTGTTTTCCTCCCCGCCCATCTTCATGTTGTATGCCTGCCATTTGAAGTCCAGTTCTTCCGGTGAGATGGAGTATAGCCGGCACATGGATTGCAATTCAGCGAGTATATCGGTGGGGAATTCATGGTCCTTGGTGTCGCAATAGCGCTCGAAGCGCTCGGTGAGTTCAGTTGCGACGTCGTCCATTCTGAATGCGGATCTCGGGCGATATGGGATGTTGAACGCGAAAGCACTTTGCGCGCCGAAAGCCGTCAGACGCGTAGACGCGTCGGGCGGGGCTAGGATGAAGAGAGCCTAGCGGCGGTGATCGACGCGGATGCAGGGGTACGCCATGTTTACCAAAAGTTGTCCGACGCTTAAACCATCCTCAACAACGCAATTGGACGCCTTCTTTGTCACTCTTTAATTGATTCATGCTGGAAGATCAAAGTTACACAGCTCTCGATTCAAACTTCTCACCATGTCAGCAATCGGTCCCTTCCCAGACCCAGCCCCAGGCTGCAAGCCAGCCGCCGCCCCGGCCCTGACCGCCGACCAACAGGCCAAGTACGAGCAGCTCCTTGCTGATGTTCGCACCTGGGAGTCGCCGGTTGAGCCCTCGGACAAGAGCGCTGAGACGGGAGCCCTCACCGACGGTCAGCGCATGTGGCTCACCCGCGAGTGCCTTCTGCGATATCTTCGTGCTACCAAGTGGAATGTCCAGCAAGCCGCTCAACGCCTGCGTGGCACATTGACGTGGCGCCGGGAGTATGGAACTGACGGATTCACGGCCGATTACATTTCCGAGGAGAACGAGACTGGCAAGCAAGTCCTGCTCGGCTTTGACAATGAGGGAAGACCGTGTCTCTACCTACTGCCCAAGAACCAGAACACCAAGGAATCGCCCAAGCAGGTCGAGCACTTGGTATACATGCTGGAGCGCACCATCGACATCCACCCAGCTGGCCAGGAAAGCTTGGCACTACTCATTGACTTCAGGAACACCGGATCAACTCCTAGCTTGGGAACAGCAAAGGCTGTCCTTAACATCTTGCAGAACCACTACCCGGAGCGACTTGGCAGGGCACTGCTCACAAACCGTAAGAATGATCGTGTCTAGTGTTGGTACATGCTTACCGTTTCCACAATAGTCCCCTGGTATGTCAGCACATTCCTCAAGCTGGTGAATCCCTTCATCGATCCCGTCACCAAATCGAAGATCAAGACGAACGAGCCGCTCCCGAACCACATCCCCGCCTCCCAGCTCATGAAGGCCTCTGGCGGTGAGGTCGACTTCAAATACGACCACTCTGTCTACTGGCCTGCTCTCGAGAAGATCACCAACGAGAAGAGACAACAAAGGAAAGCGCGGTGGGAAAAGGGTGGCAAGATTATCGGAGAGAGCGAGATCTACCTGTGGGGTGGAGACGAGCCCAGCCTCAGCACTGGAAAGGCAGAGCCAGCGGCAGCAAACGGACACACTCAGGTTGCCGATTCAAAAGACGCTGCAGCAGGTGCTGCAGCGGGACAAGCCAACGGCGCCGAGCTCGTTGACGGTGTGGAAAAACTTGACATCAAGGAGGGTGAGCCGGTCAAGGCTGAAGCATGAGCGTCAGGCTTGGTCTCTAAAATGCCATCTCATGTTCATTCGGGTAGACTAATATTGTTTTAGAAAACGATCAGTAGGCAAAAGCTTAGGGTGACGGCGCGAATAATGTCTATATTGTTATGAAACAACTTCACGCCATCGTCATTGGTTTCTCTGTGTTTCTAATGGTAATTCCAGGAACAACGCCCAGGCAGTAGCTCTATAGTTAGGTGTCGATACTCAGGACTCTGGCTGAATGATTGGCACCAAGTGCACGGCCTTGCTCAACCTGCACTGCAGTCTCTCAAGTACTACCGTTAGGAACCGTAGCAGCAGCCGTCTTCTGCCTATGCCTCAAGGACGCCAATCGAGATACTACCTTATCACCTTGCCGCCGTCGGCCTGCCTTCCATTGATAATGCCTTGATGGCACTCCACGCCCGCGCCCGCTGCCAGTACCAGGCTCTGCTCTATTCCCCGAAGATGTCCGACTATGGAAACGAGTATCTATAGATTCCAGCCGACGCTTCCGCCAACAACTCAGGAGGCTTTGTGGGGGGTGAGACATTCAGAATCAGCCTTGCAGCGCTTTGAGCGGTTATGTCAGCCTCCTTACTGTATCCATGGATCACCTTTCTGCTGCCACGTCCTCTCTTTCTGTCACAGCCTATCTCTTATCGATTCTCTTACGTTTCGTCATAGGCAAGTGGACCATACAATCCAATGCTGCCGCGGCTTTCCGACTGCTACACACGTACCGCTTGTTGAGCGGCTCAATCGGAGATTGTTTTGGGGGTCGGCATTGGCATGCACCCCACGAGCGACGTACGGGGGCCATGCACCTCTGCAGATGTACGCCGCTCGTGGAAAACCAATCGCCGTGTAAACGTGAGCGCCGGCTATACTACTCGACACCACATCCGTTGACGTTAAGTACCGCGGCTTCGGTGAAAGTGACGCAGCTACCAATAATAGATTCTCCCACCCGTTATGAGTGCTTTGGCTATCACGGTCGCCAGGCTAAGTGCGGTACAAGCGCTTTTTGTTTTCCGAGTCCCTGTATTCGCTTTTGGGGGCTTTGGTCAGGCAGATCAGCCTGAATACCATATCAGCCACCATCGTTTGGACTTGGTGCATCCTGTTCAATAAAGCGTTGGTTGGGAATAGAGCTAACTGCAACGACAGGAATACTTGCATCATGGAGTGTCAGCACTGGTTACTACAAGGTCGCTGTCACAGTCTCACGGTCTACGATTAAATGATAGCGAATATCTGCTACTCCGACGTGAACCAAGATATTCAACAATAACAACATCTGCATACAACTTCAGGCTGGGTTAAATTTCCAGAATGCAACGCTGAATCTGCAAGCAAAGGCGGAGTTCCGCTGCTCAACCTGACTTCTGTACACGATACGCGGCGCGATTGAAACCGGTGAATAAGAAAAAGAAAAAGGAAACAACCGTCCCATCGGATGCGTTTCCACGCGAACGAATTTTCCACCCACTGCTTTTACGAGGTGAGACATGTGGCACGCATCCCAAGGCAACATTGGCATGCGTCACCGCGTTTGAAACCCCCCGTTGATAAACTGGCACCGGGCAAGGCTGAAAGCCGCTTCGGTTACACAGGAATCTGGATCGGGGAAACGCTCACAACGCTCTTCACCAATGGCCACGGCAACAGCTCTCAACCTTGAGTTTCGCCCTGGGACACATGCAATTGCTGGGTCCAAGAGAGGCTGGAATCCCCGTTTCTCGGGGGTCGGAAGTGAAGTGGTGGGGCAACCATGGCTTCAGATATGGCATGTCCCCCATCCTTTCCCCACGCCACATGTTCGCCTGTAAGTTAGGCGAACTGGGGGCAGGGGGTTCAGCTGTTTGCAGTCTTCGCAGCCAAAGCTTTCTTTTTTTTTGAATCATCCATCTGCTGCGTCTCATTGGCCTTGCACTCGGGCGTTGAGCCACACAGCCTTCCCACTCGAGGTTCTTCCTCCGTGTTGTCGTGTCTGCAATTCGCCCAACAATCACCTGGAGCGTGCGTAGGAACCCCAGATGCTGTTCCCCCCCTGAGGGGCTGAGTTGAGCTTCCAAAGCTTTCTTGCAGACACACTCATCCCTCTGTGTTACAAGTGGCTTTTCGTTCCTTCTTCTTCTTCTCACCCCACGATTCCTGTGTTGCCTCAGTAAGCATATGAAATAGCGAGTTTAGTCTCCTGGGATGGATGGGAAAGACTCGTTAGATAAATAGCATTTTGCAGACACGCTCGCAACTACAACCACTCCTTTTGTCGTGTATACCAATTCCCATTTCCAAGCACACCATTACTCCTCGTACTTTGAACCCTACTTACAGACTACACGGGACCCCCCCCCCTCAACTAGCCCCAGTTCAATCCAATGGCGTCGCCAGCCACCGGCCGCTCAGCCCTCGCCAACAACAAAGGTCCAACTGAAATCTGCATCGTCTCCTCTGGCACGTCACAGCACCTCTCGCGTCCTAGTGCGCAAGCTGAGCAAAAAAAAGCTGACTTCACAGCCCATGTGCAATCCTCCAATCACGCCTCCGCACCGCCATGTTCGTATCACAGCGCGGTGCTTGGCCTGCATGTAGCCCAGCCGCCATCGCAGCAGCAGCAGCGAAACATGGGCTCATGCGTACATCCAATAGACCGGTTTCTAGCTGCGCCCTCATCGCAGCACCACGTCGTCTTCTCCAAAACCCTGGCTATAGGCACCGCCGCGTCGGATGGCTGTACGTGCAGGGCCGCCGTGCCGAAACATGTGCTGAGTGCTTTGACACGGTCGGCGATTGCGCTGAGTGTGCGGGCGGAGGATACGTTGGGGTGGGAGTGTAGTTGAGGTTAGACGCGGCTTTTTGTATGGCAGAATGGATATTGGAAAATATGAGTTAAGTACGTACTTACTTTGCGGGTTGTCATGTGATGACTGCGGAAAATATAGTATTTAGTATTCGTGTGGAAAGTCACGCATGCAGGTTGAGCGATGCTCTTGTATTGTATCAGAGTAGAATATGTAGTAGTGCTGTCATTTGTTGAGGTGCAATGGTAGCTCTATACGTGTAGGTATGCGTACGTACGTGTGTATCTACTGTATGTATGTATATATGTCCATGAACCGCCGTAGTACCGCCACCATCACCAACTCCATGACGTGCACGATTCTATTCCCCGCTTCTCTCACTCTCACTCTCACTCGCATCTACCCTACATTCTCTGCTTCTAACGACTAACCAATCAATGCGGAGATGTAGCGTGTAGAAGGTAAGACGTGAAACGCGGGGCGCAGCATGGCACAGCCGCAGTGAGCCGCAGCATGTATACATGGTGTATGTGTAGATCACTGCGCAGACACACACACAGAGAGAGAAAGAGAGGGGAAAAGGAGGAGGAGGAGGAGGAGGGAGGATGAAGAAGTGTTAGTTTAGCTATGTATGTAGGATTCTGGATCTATGGATCTATGTAAGTAGGTGTGGAAGTAGCTTAGCTTAGCTTTTTACATCCATTGATCCATGCGTACTTACAGCCATACAGCCACACAGGTATACATATATATATATATATATACACATTCCGAACCTACATTCATCGACCCATCCCCCGTCCTCTCCCCTGAAAAAAAAGGCTGGATTGAAGAAGGAGAAAGCGGTTATGGGACAAGGAAGCGTGGGAAATCTTACATAGCATCTAAGTAGTGTTTAAAAAACCCCCGCAAGGGCTTAGATAAAGTTACTTGGTTTTACCCTTGGCATGCCCTCCCACTCATAATTGCAGAAAACAGGGACTTTGCAAGGTGGCTTGCGTGGCAGTGCAGCAGTAGCCCTGTATACTAGTACATGTCTCGACCACCCCCCCCCCCCCCTACTTACTAGCGCGAGCCAACCAATAAGCAAGCAGGTATTTCACATTACCAATCTGGATTGCGAAAGTGGCCGGCTGGATGATTGTACACATTCCCCCTTAGATAAGCGCAAGGATGCTGATGATGACGAGATGGCTGGCAGCTAGCAGCTAGGGAAAATAGGCATGTGTGTGTGTGGATGTGTGGGTGGGTGGGTGTGGCTTACGAAAGCTTGACCACCCCCCCCCCCTACCTCCCGTCCCGCTGCCCCCTTCCCTCTCATACTTGCCTTGCTTTCTTCGGCAGGACAGAAAGTGAGGGGTGACAGGGGAGAGCCACACCACACGCACTATAGAATTCGTCCGTGGCTAGTACATACATATATACAGATGTAATTTGTGGTCAGCACGGCATGCGTGCGTGCGTGCGTGCGTACATTACAGATACGAGGACTGGCGTAGAATCTTGTTTTTTTTATAGTTTCTGCATGCTTTTGCTTGCTTGGTAGATTGATTGATTGATTGATTGATTGATTGATTGATTGATTGATTGATTGATTGATTGATTGATTGATTGGGGGGCCTTGGAAAGACGGGCTACTGCATGTACATAGTCGCATATATTCCGCTCCGCATACGGTGTAATGATGCAGAACGGAGATGTCGACAAGCAGAGACAGTGTACAAGTATGGGAAAGTGGTTTTAGTTTGTGCAGCAGCTACTGCATGTGTATGTTGGGTGTGTCGCGGGTTGTGTTTCGAGAGGCGCGCACGGGCAGTCATTCGGGTGGAGGGGGGAATGATGCTATACTGCGTTTGTGCGGTAGAAACATGTGGGGAGAGGGGCGGATAGAGGTGGGTGCATGTGTGTGTCAGGTGCAAAGGGTGAGGGCGTTGTGGCTGTGAGGACAAGGGGCCCCACTTTTTGATGGGGGAGTCAAAAAAGCTTATGTCGAGGCTTGGCCGGGATAAGCTTGCGTCTGTGCGCGGACATGTGGCTTGATCGCACAATATCTCCGTGGCGCGTGTGCGTGGCGGCAAGAGCCTGGGGCCCCAGTGTCGCGGGGGTGTGGCTTTGTTGGGAGTGGACGGATGCGGATTCCGAGCGCGTGCATGCATTATTGATCTATGTGCGTCATGTCATGGGCCGAGGGTGGACGGCGGTAGAGTCGGAAAGACAATCCGTGCATGCTCTAGTAGTAGCTCTTGGTGCGTCGAGATACTGCTACCAAAAACGCCCCACTCTAGGCATCTGTTGCTGCACTCTTGTCGCGCACCAAGAGATGGCTAGCAGCATCTCATGCCGTCTCGCCTTTCTTTGCAGCCATCATCTGGCGATAGGCAGCAATCATCTTCTGGCGCTCCTCGCCCAGCTCTTCTCTCTTCCTCAGACTGCCGGCCGCATTGGGTATATTAGCCACTTTTGCGCCAGCGCCGTTCTTGACCTTGAAAATCTCCCGCGGTGTCTTTGTCAGGGTTGGTGGGGCGTGGACAATGTCATGCAGTCCTTTCCTCTCGTCCCTCTTCCGCTTGAGCGCCTCCCACTCATCCTCGCTGTCCTGGGCCACCTCGCCGACCTTTAACTTGCGCTTGCCCTTTTTGCTCTTCTTCTTTTTGCCGTCTACAGTTCGCTGGGCCGGAAGGTCGTCCGTCTTGTCTTCCCACATGGCTTCGAGCTCATCCTCTTCTTCCTCTGCCAATTCTCTCCTCTCCATTTCCCTCTCGCGCAGACGGGCCTCCTCCTCTCTCCATCCTTGCTGGAGGCGCTTGAGTCGCCGCTCGTGCTTGGTGACTCTGTGGTCGCTCAGGCCGGCAATATTCTTGCCGGACTTTGCAATGCCGGATAGCGGCAGGGCCTGGTCGACGCGCGCGCGGAAGTCGGCCATGGATTCTCCGGGCTGGATTTTCAATGCGGCTGCGGACTGAGCCGGGCGATGCCCACTCTTGCTGTCCTTGACATGCTGGTTTGCTTCGGTTGCTGGCGGTTGCTGCTGCTGCTGCTTCTTCTGCTTAGCGGGCTTCACGGCGCCGTCGTCGAGGCCTGAACGCTTCTTGGGCGCGCCGTAGGAAAAGGCCATGAGGCGCTGAAAGGCCTTGGGGGTGTCGTCTGCGCCATAGCCGTCGACCTGTGCGACCTTTCGCTTTTTGGTCCTTGGGGCGGAGCTGAATGTGCGTGCTTTGCCGACAGCGAGGGGTGCAGCGTGCAGCGTGGGCGGAAGATCGAACCTGGCAGGGTCGGGTTAGGGTTAGGTTAGGGCGGCAGCGGGCGGGAGGATGACGCACTGGGATTCATCGTCGTCGACGCGCTTGTGCTTGTGAGGCATTTTGGGCGGGCAGGTGATGATGATGATGACGACGGGCTGGTCGTGGGCGGTCGCAACGTCGCAGCTGGCAAGTCGTAAAAAAAAACAAGCGGAGCGGCTACAGGCAGGGCAGGGCAGGGCAGGGCAGAAAAAGCGGGGCGGTCGGAGGCCTTGGCAAAGTTAAGCAGCGCAGTGCATATACGCAGCGCAGCGCGTCTCCCCAATCCCGCCCTGTGGCTTGCGCGCCGCAATAGCACCGCCGGATGTTTGTGGCTCTCGCAATACGCCGCCCTCCCTTACGCATACGTACATACGCGCGCCACGCTCCCATAGGCCAAGTCAGCCAGGCCCGCCGCCGCCCGCCCGCTTGGGGAGCTGCGCTGGCCCAAAGGCTTAATCAAGTCATGGTCTCGCAGCCACGCCGCCATGTGGAAGCTCTTGCGACACGCCTCGGCCCGACTGCCCTCGACCATGGCGACAGTCTGACTTGTCGTCGACATGTACGCAGTAATCCACCTGCCTCCATCTGGCGGCCGTGGCGAAGATGCCGTCCACTGGCCCCGGCGGCGCTGACATATAACCATCCTTCACCTGCACCTCTGCCCCCTCCCCCTCCCCCTCCCCCTCCCGCCACCTGCTGCTTGGCTGCGTGTCCACCGCCCCCCCTCGACACACCAATCACCATCGCAGGCCGTGTTGCGTGCCGAGTCTGGCTCTCTAGACGGTACCGCTCTCTTTCAGCACGGCGCACGCTTTCCCCAGACTCGTTGGGCCCGGCCTCCCAAACCACGCCCGCACGCACGCTTGGCCCTCGTAGTTTGCCTGTTTCGCCATAAGAGCCTCCTGACACCCCGCTCGTTTCTGAGCATCGCCCGCCTCTCCTGATTTTCCCTCCTTTCTCTCCGCCCCTGCACTGGCCGTGGCAAGCGTGAGACAAGCCTTGCCAGCATCCGTCCCTGCATCGGCGCGCCTGTTGTCGAGTCGGCCGTGCATCTTGACAGTCGGCCTCTCCCGCGAAACACAAAACGGTCCTGTCTATAAGTCAGCACCTGTGCTCTCGAAACGCTCCCCGTCTCTCGCTACGAAGCCTCCTCTCCCTCGCCACGGCCCTCTCGAGCATTCGACACCACCCGCACCGCCGCGCCCTCGCTTTCGCCCCACGTCCAAGGGCCCTCGCTTGACAGATCGTGCCCGATCCTCGCCGCCCATTGGCTCGTGCCTGACATGGCCGGAACACCACGTTCAATCACCACCGTGCCCCTCCTGCGCCACTCGTCCCCCGACCCGGACTTTTCCTCTTCCAAGGAATCGCTGCCACACTATCCCTTGCATGCCCTGCACCATGGCCACGACACGGCCTATGCCTCAGACAGCGACCACGACGACCACGACCACGACCACGACCACGACCACGACGACATTGCCCCACCACTGGGTTTTTGGAAACGCCTCACCATGAGCATACGACGGCGGAATGGCAAGCCGCGCCCAGACGCCGAGTTTGGCCGCCTGCGCTTGCCAGACGAAAAGAAACAAGCCAACAAGTACCGACTAAGAAGAAAGCATGCTACCAGGGCCTGTGTCATCATCCCCTTGCTGATTGTCATCTTTTTGTAAGGGCCCCCGAGTACCCGTTACGCCAAACCAACACGCGCTAACTCCTTCCAGTGGTCTTCTCCACATGGTCAACGTATTGCTAGGCTTCGTACCTGTTTTCCTCGACCATCATGCACGCCCTGGCTTGGATTGGAGTCGATACGACGAGTCGCAACTACTTGACATTACACGTGACGTAGTACCTGTACCCTGCCATTCGCACAACGACTACTGGCGACGAGTCCCGCTGTACGACGCACTCCACTGGGGCTGCAGCGGCGTCGAAGCCGATGTCTGGCTCTTCGACAATGAACTATTCGTCGGCCACAACACCAACGCCCTGACGCAGAACAACACGTTCCGCTCCATGTACGTCGACCCATTGACACGCATGCTCGACCACAAGAACGCTGCAACCACATTTGCAACCACATCCACGACCAAAAACGGCGTCTTTGACACAGACCCCGCCCAAACCCTCGTCCTACTCGTCGACTTCAAAAACGACGGCCACCAAATCTTCCCCGTGGTATCCCAGCAAATCTCCTCACTGCGAGAAAAGGGATACCTGACGCACTTTAACGGCACATCCGTCGTCTCGGGACCCATCACTGTCGTAGCCACCGGCAACGCCCCCTTTGACCTCATCACCGCAAACGTGACCTACCGTGACATCTTCTTCGACGCCCCACTCGACCATCTGATCCAAGACGAAACACCAGCCGATTCCTCCACCACCCCCAAGCGCCAAGGCCAAGGCACCGTCGGCACAACTCCCAACTCGCACTTTGACAGCACAAACTCGTACTACGCATCTGTCAACTTTGGCTCCTCCATCGGATGGCTGTGGTTCGGCCGCTTGTCCGATACCCAGCTACACAAGATTCGCACCCAGATCCATGATGCCAAGCAGAGAGGTCTCAAGTCGCGATACTGGAGTGCTCCAAAATGGCCCATTGGCCTACGCAACCGCGTCTGGAAAGTCCTCGTCCAAGAGGGTGTCGGATACCTCAACGGCGATGACCTGCAAGGCATGACCGAGTTGAATTGGGATATCAAGAAACACTGGGGTGTTTTGGGCTAAGAGTTATTTTGACTGTGAAGGAGTGACATGTGATGAAATGTTTTCTCTACTAGATTTCTGTGCGACTTAGCGATGTACTTCTTTTTTGGTTTGGTTTAGCTTTGGTGTTTCCTTTGGAAGATACACCTTTCTTCTTCTTCTTCTTTTACATTCTTCATCTTCATCTTCATCTTCTTCTAAATTTCTTTTCTCTGTCCCTGTTACCAAAATAATAGCTAAAAAGAGAAAGAAAGAAAAGAAAGACAAGATCCCTTTCGCCCCCCCTCCTCTCTTTTTTGGGAGCAAAAGATAAACTTTAAGATAACGTGGTTCATAAGCGAGTCGGCCACCCAAGCGAGTCGGCCACTTTGTACCGTCGCGTCAACTTCAACACGTTATCACAGTCTTTTATCACAGTCAATAAACTATTGCAATATACCAAATTAATTGTCAGAATCGCTACTATCACTTGCACTATCTATCTCAACTGCGCAGGTACGAGCGTTGTGTCCAGTCTGCTTGCAACGCCCGCACCGCCGCTCTCCTCGCACCCTCTTCGACGCACTCTCACCATCACCACGACTGCTACCCGCCTGTTCAGCTAATACTTCTTGTACTTCGCCTACAGTAAGAGTCTCTTCTGTCCGTACGTATCGCCGCTTGCGGTTCTTACGCTTATTTGCTGTGTCTAGAGCCTCTCGAAGAGCAGCTACTTCCTCCCTCATAAGCGTTATCTCATGTGCTATTTGCTGAGCCCCTTTACTTAGCTGCACAACCTTCTCGTTAAGAGAATTTGCAGAAGACCTAGGGCGGTTTCTTACTCTCTGTCGAATAAGAGTACTTTGAGCCTCAACCTCGCGCGCGTTGCGTGGTGTCTGCGCCTCCCAGGCGGCTGCCTGTCGCGGTGATTGTACTGGCGTCTGCACCACCACATCAAGCTTAGATAGCACAGCCTGTGGGTCGTGTGGGACTAGTCCAGCGCCTCTGAAGCCAGCTTGGATATTCTCCTTCGTGATAGACTGCTCAAAAGCAGCCTTAAAGGCTAGTAGGAAGGTTTCCTTGCTAATATAGTGGGTGCGGTTGCGTGCCAAGCCTGAAACAGCGTCGCCATACTTACGCTTCAACGGCGAGAAGCAGGCGACGTCAAGGGGCTGCAACAGGTGAGACGAGTGTGGAGGCATGCAGAGAAGAATAATATTCTTCTCCTTGCAAAGATCTTGAAAATCGATGGAGCAGTGGCTCTCATGGCCGTCAATAATAAGCAGTCGATACCCACCTACAGTATGCCTCTTTGTATGGGTATCAAAGTGCTCTAACCAGGCAAGACCAAGCTAATTATTCGTCTAGCCATTAGGACTGACTTCAAGAACCTAGTTAGCAGGCAAATCCTCAAACTAGACGTTGATAAGCACCTTGCCCGCAAAGACAACGAAGGGTGGTATTCGGCGACCTGACGCGCCCACGCCTTGGATCACAGTAACCCACTCGCGGTTGCCTGGCTGTATCCGCTTCTTTTTCCCATATCCTTCTAAGCCTGTGATTAATAACTGTGATAAAATCTTGCCCATCATAAAGCCAGTTTCGTTAAAGTTGTAGATATCATCGTCCACAATACCCCACTTCTGCTTTGTCGCCTGGACTAAGTCAAACCAGCGCTGGATAGCCACTGGATCCTCGCAGGCGGCTCGCTGGTGATCATAGGGACGGCTCCAGCGCGTACGGAGCTCAGGAGTCCGCTTAACAAAGTTGTCAACCCAGTTCTTGCCAACAGGGTTGCCACCACGCTCCTCTAACAGTTTATCAGCCATTGCTCGAACCTCAGCCTTTATAGGGGCAAATCCTCGCGTAGACTCTTCAAGAATACGCCTAACAATAGCCTCCTCTTCTAGCTTATTTAGGCGCTTTGAATTCGGTTCGCAGTCGCGTCGAAAGCGCTTTCTAGCGCGTCGGTCTTGGAGAGTAGTTCGAGGCACGTTATAGATAGAAGCAGCACGTCTTTGGCTTTGAACACGTTGCGATTGGACGTTAAAAAGAGCAAGTTGAAGATCAGATTCAGAATAGATTAACAAATGATTGTGTGGTTGAGACATAACGCGTTATAGTGTTAACGTCGACGCGCCGGTACAAAGTGGCCGACTCGCTTGGGTGGCCGACTCGCTTATGAACCACGTTACCCTAGATCCATCCATCCATCTATCCATCCAACTTTTTTCTTTACTCTACCAGCACTACACTTATATATATATATACTTTGCTTGCCTTTTAAGTGCGCAAGAACACAACAAACCCACAACTACACAAACAAACAAATCAATAAACACACTAACTTATACACGTCCATTTCCCACTCAGCATATATAGATAAAACCAGAAGAAGAAGAAGAAGAAGAAGAAGAAGAAGAAAAAAAGAAAAGAAAAGAAAACGTCAATCTATACATACATAGTCTCTCCAAGTAAACAAGATAAAGCAGAATTACTCGCGCGAGTATTCAGAAAAAAACAAAAAACAGAAAAAAGAAAAAGAAAAAAAAACCTGGAAATTGTTTCTTTAGTAGGTAGGTTAGTGTGGCCAAGTGTATGGAAGAAAATAACCATGTACGCCTGTCTAGCGCTATAATAGTATATGTAGAAAAAAAGGAGAAAAAGGCCCTGTGCATGGATATACATGGACAAAGACGTGAATATATATATAAGTTGAATGAAGATAAGACAAGACAAGACAAGACAGGACAAGACAAGGAAGAAAAAAAAAAGAGAGAGAGAGAGAGAGAGAATAAGCGGATTCATTCCTCACCCATAATCTTCATCATCATCATCATCATCATCATTGTAGCCCATCATGATGTGTGTGTGTGTGTGTGTGAATCTCTAAACCAGCCGGCCGCCAAAACATCTTTATCTTTCATCTTTCATCTTTCATCTGCCGCTGCATTCCAACTCGACTCAACTCAACTCAACCCAAACTTTTGCCAAGTGCAGAAGCCCGAACCCATCAATCAATCCATCCATCCATCAATCAATCAATCCAAAAAGCCATGAAAAAAAACGAGGGAGAAGAGAGAAAAAGAGAGAGGGGAAAAAGAGAGAGAAAAGGGCAAAGAGAAGGCTCAAAACATGCTCCAACCCTTCTTCCTACGATCGCGATCACGATCGCGATCACCCCTCTCGCGCTCCCTCTCCTCACGACGTCCCATCATGCGTTTTTCGCGCTGCTCCAGTTGGCGCAGGCCCTCCATCTCCTTGAGCACATGCTCGAGCAGCTCCTTGCGGCGCACGACATCGAGATGGCGTTTGATCTTGGGGTCTTCCTTTGCAAAGCGGTCGATTTCTTCCTGCGAGAGGCCGCGGCCTAGGCGCGCGTCGAGTTCACGGGGGAACTGTACGGAAATATTAGTCTTAGTACTGTATACAGAAGAAGAGCGAATACATATATATATATATATATATATATACGATGGATGAGACTTACAATGTAGTAAAACTTGGAGAGCAGCTCCGCGTCGAGGAATAGATCGGCCGTCGTCGTGAGCTTGTCTGCGACGGCATCCAGGAACACTTCAGGGCAGTGGTACTTGTTCTTCTTGGTTGCACACTGCTTGCTCTTGACTGCCATGAGCCGGAGCTTGAGCACGTCGATACGGTCTCGGAGGAAGACTGCTTCACGGCCTAGTAATCTGTCAGCACGTCAAATTCAAATCCAAGTCGTCGGTACGTACCCTTTGCCAGAAGTGCAGAGCTGAAGCCACCTGCACCACCAACGCCATCGCCCTCTAGCATAACCTGTCCGCTTCGCACGCGGTCAATAAAAGTCATGACATCCCGCACCTTCTTGCGTCCGCCAACTTGGTCCTCGAGCTGCTTGACGGTAGCCTCGACAACCTTGAGTTCTTCTTTGAGTACGGCAGTTACATTCTCACGGCCCTTCGCCCACTCGCCATCCTCAACTTCAATCCGGTATTTGTAGGGCTTGATGCAAATCTCCAGCTCGTCAGAAATGTCGTAGGAAAGGTCCTTGAGTATAGAATTTGATGCGTCCGTAATGGCTTGTCGGGCAAACGGGTGCGCGGCAAAGCGCGAGTTTGTAATGAGACGATCAACATGCGCCTGGAGTGCGCCTGCAACAACGTTGGTAGCCAGGCGTCCGACACCGAGCTTTGTCAGGGCAGCACTGGAGCTGTCGAGCTTAATCTTCCAAATCTGATCCTCCCCATCTATGTCTGCCTTGACAAGGTTGCTGAGAGGGTCGGTTTCCGGAAAGGGGGCGTTGAGGTCTTCAAAAGGCCTGTTCCAGTAGCGCTGTGCAAGTATGTTGAGTACTTGCTGGTCCAGCTCGTGCTTGAGCAGCTCGCGAACTTGCGGCCGACCAAATTGTTCCGTGAAACCGCGGAATGAGTGCTTGAAGGCGTCCAGTGACTCGGCAAGGTACGACTCGGCACTGATTGGTCGTTCATTGTACTGTACCTTGTACTCGTATCTTGCCTCTTCGAGCTCTCTTTGGATAGCCTCACTAGTCGTCTTAAGACTGCCAGCCATTGTCTGCTCAAGCACGTGCATGAGCTTCTTCTTGAGGTTTTGAGTACCTATAGCAAGGTCCGATCGTTCCGAGAACTCGGGGTGCGATGAAAAGTACGCATGCTCGTTCTTGATGATGGCGTTCGAAATGTTGCCATTGCCGCGACTGAAGAGCTTAGAGCCGCCTGCGCCGGGCGGTACACGGCATACCACGCCAACGTATCCCAGGCGAAGAGCATACTTCTGATCGTTTAGTAGGCTAGCTCCACGCTCGGGGTCTACAAGATCCATCTTTGTAATGACACCAATGGTCCGCTCGCCCCTGGGATCCATTCTCCTTGATGCTCGCAGCGCCGTGCTGTTTGCTAGATCCACGTCTGCTGCTGAGATGGCGAGAATGACATTAGGTGGTCTAATATACTTTTCACAGAGCTGGGCAATCTTCTCCTTGAGCTGCGGGGGCTGATCTCGGCCAGTAACCTGAATGTATCCCGGCAGATCGATCAACGAGAGGTCTGGCACGTTTGGCGAGTAGATCCTAAGCTGGATAGGGTCGTCCGACACACAGTCGCTGGCAGGCACAGCCATGTTCAGGTCTGTCAGTGTCTTCTGAACCTGGCCAAAGTCTGTCACTTTGCCCAGGCCAATGGCCGGGAACTCGCAGTACTCTGCGCGCGCATCTGGGGTATTGACGAGGGTAAGCTCGATTGGTCGTCGTGTAACCATGTTGTGCCCCTTGGGGAGGAACTCATGACCAACAATAGCCTCGAGTACTGAGCTTTTTCCTGAAGACTGGGATCCAATGACGACAATCGACGGCAGCGTGAGCGATTCGGATTGTCCGACCGTCTGCAGCAATCCCCGTATCTCGATCATCTTCTTGGTGAGCATCATCATCTGCTCGTCTCGCGCAATCTTTTCGGCCTGCGGCCTATCCTCATCATCGTCGTCATCTTGCGAGTATCCAAAGGCGGCAGCGCCTGATGCGCCAGCTGCTGCAGCACCACCAGAGCCGCCGTGCTTAGGTTCTCTTGGACCCCCACTACCGTTGCCCCCTGAGCCACTAGATTCATCCTTGGATAGTATCCGTTGCAGCCATTCCGGGTACTGCACGTTTTCAAGCTCGTCCTTGGTCGACTTGAAGCCCTTTTCTATCTGGTCGAAAAATCCATTCGCTGTGCTGAGGGCCCCGCCGGCCAGCTCCGTGGCGCCGTCTTTGGTTCGGTTGAAGAGATCAAGTGCAAAGGTGCCAGCCTCTGTGGCCTATTAGCTTCCCACGGACGGCAATTGCTGTCAAGCATGAATACATACGGCCGGCCTGGTACTGAATATATGAGGCTCCGGCGATAATAGCCCCTCCGGTGGCGGCACCCACAGTCGCAAACTTGCCTACGAGTTTGGGTATGACTCTCGCAAAAGATATTGATCGCGTGGCGGGCAAGTTGTGCAGCGCGTAGCTCCCCAGTGGCCACGGCCGCCGTTTTACCAGTCGAAGGCCGGCTTCATTGCGTAAAAGACCGCCGGCAGGGAGTGAGTGGGTGGTGTAGAATCGTGGTGTGAGGAGCGGTGAACGGCGAGCGAGGACGGGAAGGCGGCCCGCGACGAGCCTGCCGCTCATGTTTGCGACGATGAGAGAGCGAGGATGGAGTGTGGGTGTAGCATAGGACCTGGTGGCTGGGGACTGGACGCGGTTTGCAACGTTGCACACGGCGAAGCGGCGATGCACGTCACCCTCGACTTGGGGTGCACTGAGCGAAGTGCTTGGGCCACCCTCCCGCGTGGGGCAGCCCGTGGTAGTCGGCCGGTCGCCTGGCCAATTCAGAACGGACAACACATTGGGCTAGACAGCGCAACACTTGGGTGAATGAATCCTCGTAAAGTTCTGCTTGATAAGCAGCGTGTCTTTTTTCATAGCCAGATAGTAGCCGTGCTTGTCCCGTGTGCACACGGATGGTCATCGTTCAACAAGGCATCCTGCCTGCAAAGAAAGCCTCACTTCAAGCACAAGAGTGCCCTTTCTCCAAACCGCCTCATCAACGAGCCCTCTTCCTTGACCATGTCCCTCAGCCAGTTCCTTGAGCCCTCCACGTCCCTGCTTGCAAACTTGACCAGCACAAAGCCTCGCACATTCGCTGCGCTCCATATCAGACCATCCGTTTTCTCTCGCTGCTGCCTCTCATGTCGCCTCTGCTCGTGTGGCTGCAGTTCCGGCTGCACGCCATCTCCCCAGTTCCGACCTCCAATACGCGGGAGTGCATCGAATTCATCCAAGAAGAATTTGGAAAGCGATGAGAATACTGGCCCGCGGATGATGACGGTGCCAAAGACGGAGTAGTTGTCCATGCGTGAGGAGAGCGGCATGCCCGTTCTACCATGCTTGTCCAGGATGAGATTGTCGCGTACAAGAAGTCTCTTCTTCCCCGCTTCATACAGTGTCCATACCTCGTTCCGGCTCTTGTATTCGAAAATGTCCCAGTTCTCGCCCCGCGCAGAGCGACCGCTGGTCACCCAGTCGCATACGCACAGATTGCCCTGCTCTTTGTCGAGATGGTAGATCTGGGACTGTGAGAAAGCCGTATGGGCAAACGGCTGGACAGGGTCTGGAAGATAGACCAAAGCCGAGTCGTGTTTAAGATGGACCGTCATGCACTGCCGCGAGACTACTTCTGGACTAGGTGCCTTGAAGATCTTGGTCGAGCCCTGGGTCAACAAGATGAGGCTCGTCTTCTTGTCCAGCTTGACGTCCAGGTCTATGCTGTCTCCAGCAACAATGCCGCCTCCGTAGGTGAGTAGGAAGACGGTGTGTACCAGACGGGAGGTTGCCGAGGGAGGCTCGCCGTCTTCCTGGCCGCCATGGCTGGGTGGTCGTATGGGGTCGGGTGCAACCAGCTTCAGCGGGTACTGGTAAGACACGGTGCTGAGGACGGGCTTGTCCTGAGCAAGGAGACGGACAACGATGGATCCACGGCCGGGCTTAGAAGTCGAGGCGCCAAAAGGTGAGATAAAGGACATGTCGCGTTGCTAAGTAGCGTCGTCCAGGGCCAACCATCTTTCGGCACCGCAGAGACTCGAGTTCGAAACCGGGTGCGGGAGACTGGCAAAGGCACATATAACCTGGCGGCGCCGCCAAATCCGGTGTGCACAAACAAGCCCAGACAGGAGCGCCGTTCCCGCGCGCCACGACAACGGGTAAGCAGCAAGACGTGTCGCGGCTGCCTTGCCTGTCGGCGTGCGCGCGGGCCACAACGCCAAGACGCGGTGCGGGGAGGTGAGCCATCTCTCTGGACTTTTTTCACACTCGCAGTCGGACCCCACCAAAAACGCCAGCCAGAGTATCGACCGATTCGACTGCAGCCTTGCCCGCACGCGTTCGAACCTCATCCTTGCCCGCGGCCGCCTGCCGCCGACGAGCGCGACCTGGTCTTTTTGCCTTCTCCTCCAACACGCCGACTCCTGCGCGCCCAAGTCCAACCCCGCTGTCAGCCAGAGCCAGTTAGATCCTTCCCTGTCCGACTTAGCAGCCAGCCGCAGCTCGCGTTCGAAACGCTGTCCCTCCGCCTTTTGACATGCGCTGACAGCAACTCACCGTCTTTTCCTTCACGTCAGCTAGCACGAGGGGGACGGGCGGAGCATCATGGCGCCAGGCCTCGATGAGCTCTTGGACTTTTTGCTGTCAGAAATTGCTCTGCTCGGCGTCCAAGGTATGCATGACTCGCTGCGCGCATTGTTCCCCTTTGAAATTACATCAGCCACAGTTTGCGTGGCGCAAGCACTCGCCTTTTGATTGTCTGCTCTGCATTTACTTTTGTATCCATGATATCGCATCTTCCCAGTCCTTCTGCTTTTTCTCATCGCTCCATCGCGTGTTCTACTTGCTTCACTCTTGTGGCGCTTTGGACTGCCCTCCTTATCAATAACTAACCCTGGGTATAGGCGCCAGCAGTGCAGACTTTCGTCGTTTCATTCAAAAGTTCTACGGAAAGCTTCAGGGTGATGCACAATGTCCATCAAGTAGCCAAGACGAAACATCGGTTGCGGAAAAAGGCCTCGACCGTCAGTTCTATGAACGCACATGGCAGTGGCTCACTAATCATCCCGATATCCGCATTGTCTACCAGTCAGAGATTCGCCACTACACTCTCTCCGAGTTTGAAGCGGCTGAGCTACATGAGACTGGCACAACTGGAGACGGACATGTAGTAGAGCCTGACCAGGATTTGAGCGCCTCCGCAACCCAGAGGGCACATCCCTCCAAGGCCCTGAGTGCGTTAGGAGAAGCCCTGCGACAACGAATCCATGGCGAAGATGGCGGCTCCCGAAAAACCTTGAGCGTCTCAAACCAGGCTGCAACCCCACTGCCTGCACGTCGGCCATCTCGCAGCATGCCCGACGCCCTATACACCACAACGGCAGTTTTTGACGAGCCAAACTCCAGCACGACTGCACCTCGTCTGTACACAAGTCAAGGCAGAGTTTGGCAGGCTTTGACAGGACACGGCATCGATCTGAAAAAGGTTCCGAGTATGGAGTTTGTGCTGCTTTCGCTCATCGCGGCTCGCGGAGCCACGGGCATAACCCAGCCTGAACTTATTGCACTGAGCGGCCAAGACAAGCGATCAGTACCGCACAGGACAGATGAACTAGCGCGTAAAAACTACATATCCAAGTATCCTGTTCAGTCCAATAAGATGCGAACCAGTCTCTGCATCCACACAAAGTTCGTTTCCCAGAACGCTTTCATTGAGTCTAGTGCTGTGGAAGATGTCTACCAAGAAGACGGAACGTTCGTGGTTCGGAGCTTTCCACATTTGCTGTACAACAAGGTGGGCGAAGGGGGTATTGTTCCTACGAGGTCGATACGCGAGAAGCTGGTTAGTGTGATGCCTTGAATAACTGAGTATGCCTTGTTAATATATATCAGGGCGTGCCAATGTCGACATGGAACAAGCGGGCTACCCAAGGCGCCCTCATCCGACTCGATCAGAGCGGAATGATCAAGCGAAGGAGAATACGCAAGAAGCAGTCTACCGATGCTTGGGTCACCTGTATTCAAGTGCTGCGTGCGCCAACCGACGAAGATATGAAGAACCTTGGATTTCGACGCACAGCAACCCTTGCAGACGAATCAGCTGCAGAGCCACTCGACGATAATGCTGACGGTGACTCCGTAATGAAGGACTTTGAAGACGACATGTTGGATGACGCGGAAACAACTATCGATGCTCAAGCCAATGCACCAGCTGTTGACAAACCGGAAGTCATACCTCCGCAATGGACACCGGATCGCTTTCTTCCCAACATAGTTTTCGATGCCGTCGCCCTGGGTGGTCCTCGCGGATGGGATGCTGAGACTCTGCGAGACCGGATCGTCGGGCCATTTTGGAGGCGCCCAATGGAGTCGTATTTCTCTCGCATGACAAACGACTGGGAGAAGACACAACCTATTCATCTGAGACATCTATCTGTCATCAGAGACCAGGGCGTTACCGACGAAAAGAAATTCCTTCACTACGTATACCGCACATACGCCAACTTTGAGAAAGCTGTCGAGCTTCATTACGCTCACTGGGAAGGCGTTGCTAACTTTGAGCCTAACGAGCCATTGGATCCTGCAAGTAATGGCGCTGTCCTCGATGCTTGGGGTTTCCCTATCATTAAACCAGAGAACCTGGTACGAGGATCTGGTTCAGCAACATTGTCTGATGCTGGCTCAGCTGTCATGAAGCCGCGCAAATATGGTTCGCGATGGGATACTGCACTAGCACAAGAGATTGGGTACAAGAAGTATTCCAGTGCTGTGCCAAAAGTAAAATCATCGCGTGGAGTAGGCCGCCCCAAGAAGCCAAAGGTCGTCAAAGAGAAGCCCGTCAAGGTCGCCAAAGAGCCGAAACCACGAAAGTCAAATTCAGGTCTTTTGCTCACGTCAGAGGAGAAGATGGCCCTAGGTTTGGATCCCAATGTTCGTTTGAGCAAGAAGGTCCGGGCACAAATCCTTGCGCACCGCCAGATGACAGGAGATCCGACATCGTTGCCAGATACAGTTGAGCATGGCCAAGCCAAGCGCCAACTCAGTGTACCTCTCATGACAAAAGAGGAGCGAGTCGCTGCAGGCCTTTCAGCAAGAGGTCGTTTGGGTATAGAGCAAGAAAACAAGATTCGAGAACAGCGCGGGCTGCCAAAATTGGTGAAGAAAGAAAAGAAGCGAGCGACAAAATTCTCCAAAGAGCCCACACTGCTCAGCAAGCAACAAAGGAAAGCGTTGGGCTGGAAGGACCACGGACGATTACCGCAAGATCTCATCGAAGGTCTTCGTCAGGAGCGAGCGGAAGGCATTGCTCTTGAAGATTCCAAAGTCATTGCCAAGTATATGGACGTGATGAGGGCGAAGGTCTTGACGCCAAAAACCCCCAACAAGGCCAGTAGGTCCTCGCAAGAAACCACTGTGACTTCGCAAGAGCCTGAAGACCCACTGGAGAACAGAGAAGCAGAGCAAATGTCAAGAACTATCTCAACAGAACCGCATCTTTCTGAGATTTCATTGCCGCATAGCGTCTCAGGGAAGCGAAAGGCTGATATCCCAGTGGCCGCACCGGCATCAACGAAGAAGCGGCGCATCGCAACAAAAACTCGGCAGGACTCGAATTCATTACCCTTATCACCAATGGCATCCTCTCCAGCTGACATCACATACATTCCTGAAAGTGGTACGCCGTCGGTCATTCATGGTGTACACGATACAGGCGATACGATCTCATCGATTGTTTCCAGAGTCATTAAGCCAGCTGAAGCAACACCTCCACCAAGCGAGGGGCCTATCTTGCCAACTGTGGAAGCTCAGCCTCCCCCGAAGCCTCCAGTGAAGACCTATCTGCCGCTTGACAACTCTCAACTCGATGCTAGAGCGCAAGCTGCCTTCGACCAGTATAAGAAACGATCATCCCCAGGGCTGTATGTCAATCCCTACATGAAGCAAAAGGTTGCCCGAGGGAGGCCGCGCAAGGCAATGATTGCAACCTTTAAGCTACCGAGTTTAGCAGAGCTTGACTGGTTCGAGGCGGAGACTGCTCCGGAGCAATCGACGAATCGAGATGATGTAGCGCATACTTCTGACACTACGCAAACAACCACGGCTCATCGTGTGGATGAAGTCATTCCCTCACGGAAAGCCTCGCATCCTTCAGAGCCAGAGACTTCACGAGCAGGAATGCAGATGCAAAGTGACCGTGAAACACATCAGAACATTCAGAACTATACTCCACCGCCTTCCATAGCCGACAAGCCTGCCTCGGTCGAGCCTGAGGGACTTCCAACCACTAGCGAGAATTGCACAGATGTGCCGATAGAGCCCGAGGAGCAACCGATCGCCAGTGAAGATATCACAGAGATACCCATCGAGCTTCAAGAACCACCAACTGCCGGTGGAAAGAGTACAGAAGTGCCGATCGAGCCTGCAACGGACTCTGTGGCTGCTAGTCAAGAAGTTGAGACCGTTGTGTCCCCACCTGCGGGCCCAGACCCTAGCCAAAGCAAAAGCCAGTCCGAAATTGTCTCTGATATGGTGAGGAAACAATCTCCACGTCCAGTTCCCTCACTATCACGGATGGTAGGTGGTTGGACACCCATCAATGCGTCTGAGCGCTCCCGTACTTCACCATACCAGAGCCCCTATGCCACCAGTCCAGCACCGGAAAATCATGTGGCACAGCAGACTGCAGATACCACTCATGCAAACGGTGTGCCAGCCCCCTCAGCTGATGGGTCACGCGGGACCGCCTCTAAGGCAGATGATGACCAAACTCTCCCTGATGGCGTACATAGCGCTATTGTAGAAGCTCCTGTGCCCCCCGTACCGGGTACTAAGCCAAGGATTAAGGAGCCTGGGAAAGGCGGTAGTCAGCGTCATTTTAGGCAGCAAGTCATCTTGGACATCATCAAACGCTGCAACGGCGTGTTCCCTGGTGGGGGTGAAATTCTACGACCTTTCCTTACGATTTGGCGCGAGCGACACTCGAATATCAAAGAGCCGTCCCTCAGTACCATCAGCGAAACCCTGAGGAGTATGGCTTCTCGTCCAGAATTTGGCTTGAAGCACTGGAACTTTGCTGCACAAAACAAGAACACGCCAGGCACGACCACCCGAAGGATGTTCACATGGGCACACCTGAACGAAAGGAGCCCGGAGGTCTTGAAACTGGCACACAACATGGCTCAATATTCTCATCAAAAGGAACACTCTGCCCGTGTGTCGGAAAAATCCCTTTTGTATTACCCGGAGGAGATTCGTGACCTCATTGGTGAGGTTGTCTCGTATCAACCGATCCAAGCCGCCCCCAAAGATGATAGTATTGTCCTCAACCGAATGAACCCCGATCTTGAGAAACAGATCAACGAAGCCAAACAACGCCGACGGTCAGAATTGAACAAACAGAAGAGGCTGGAGGTCAAGGCTCGCAAAGTACAAGATGCTCGGGTTGAACAGGCGCTTTCGAAGCAGGCTCCAGAGTCTGGTGGTGCGCCACGGGGGAAGCGGGCGAGACTAGCAAGTTTGAACGATAAAAGCAAGCACCTTCGGCGAGCACCGCTGTATACTGCAGACATTGGGGCGCTCGGCGAGGAGTCTGATGATGCAGAAACCGGCGGACCCGACGTTGGTGCGGCTGAGAAGCCTGGTCAAATCTCGCTTGTCTGGACGCGTCCTATCGGTGCACCTGTACCAGAACGTGAGCCAGTACCCAATGGAGAGCAATCCGAGGATGAAGAGAGTGAAGACGAACCAGCAGATGAGGATGTCAATACCCAGGACCCGTGTTCGGTTGCAGAACCAGTTGAGGAACATGCGCTGAATGGCGTTATGACTGTTGCATCTCAACCTACAGGAGCGAACAACGACGAACCTGAACTGCCTGGTGCTGAACCCACTGACCCGTCTGATCAAGCTGCTACTGCCGAGAAGGGCAAGAAGCGTGTACGAATTGCTGCTCCTCGCGACCAACCTTCTCAGAAGAGGGTGCGTTTAGTGCCTACGACTACCAAGAGTTCGCAGGATGATGTATATACGCCTCAACACAGCTCTGATGAGGATACGCAATCTGCTTCGCAGACAGAGGATGAAGGTGAAGAAAACGGTGAGACATTGATGCGCAAGACGAAAAAGCGGGATGTCAGGACATCTCACAGCCGCCAGCGAGGAAAGCCTGGTCCTCCGCCAACGTTACTCGAACGTCTCACCGGCCTTACGGGCGATCCGAATGATCCAGTCTACCAGCCACCTCAGGGCGCTCCGAAGCCTGATGTGACATCCCGCCCATGGACTGACAAGAAGAAAATACGTCTTAATAGAAGTAAGAAGGAATTGCAGTACACGAAAAAAGTTGAACAAGCGGACGAGTTTAAGAAGCTCTTCTGTACCTTCGCTGTCGCCTGTTCGTTGTCTGGAGAAGATGGTATGGTCGACTGGAACATTGTCAAGAGCGTTTATGCAAATGACAAGACCTTCGATCTGAACAGGGCTCGCAAGCTTTGGGCCTGGATGCAAACTCGGATGGCTAAGCAAGTGGACGAACTGACTGTGTCCTTCCAATCGCTATACCTGGAAGCTTATGAGACTGGAAAAGTGGCTGCAATCGAAGATCCGCAGACGTATGACTGGGCAGGCCTCGTGCGATGGACTACACGAAAATGTGCCTATCCTGAGCTTCCTCTTCCCACTTTGCGGGAAGCCCTGCAGAAATTTGCGGTTCAGGAATCCAGCTACGAGACTTTGGACCGAGTAACTTGGTACAAGGCAACAACCGCGGATCGCACAAGGACAATGCTTCAGCTGCAATACTCGTTCACAGCTCCCCTTCACCGGTCACGAAATGCGACCTGGTCGTCTGAGGATAAGCTTCTCAAGGCACGTTCATGGATTCGGGCAAACACGGCAACGCCACAGACCCTCTATGATGCTAATCTGGCGCACGAGAAGTTCAAGGACCTGGGCGAATCAGTACTGGTCAGCGTGGTTGGAAGCTTAGTGGAGAAACAACATCTCAGGATGCGAAAGCTCAAGCGCCTTTTACCTGGACGCAACTACAACTTTACTCAAGCCCTGGCGAAGAAGTATGCGCGATTGTTCCAGCTGGATGACTTCTTAAAGGCAGTCGAGGTCAAGAAAAAGATGGATACTGCGTTTGCAAGCGAAGATCCAAAGACGCGATCGTACAATATTTCACGGTGCGAAGAAGACAGTGTCTTTGCAGCCATCATGACAATGGTCACCGAGGGAACGGTCAAGCTCATTCCGCAGCTACCCCCTATCAACAATGACTTCAAAGCTCCACTCCCGAAGCTGTCAGTCTGGGGCTTTTGCGAGGGCGGTTACAACCATCGAGCAATTGATCGAAGCCGCCTGTTCTGGGATATCCACGTCGTTCCCACTGAAAAGTACAAGTTCGGCAACCCGTTGCAAACACTGTCTTCACCGACCCTGCCTAAGGACAACCAGGAGAACGCATCTTGGCAAGCTCTGCCCGAGCCGCCTCTTCCTGGGAAGGATGATTCACGTGCCTTACTTCCTATTTGGAGCAGTATCGATGGTCAACATGTTACGTGGCCCTGGTGGTACCGCGTCCTGAACCTTGTGTTGCAACCGTTGATTTTCATGGCCGGCGCCACTGCAGCCGATGTTCATTCCCACTGCCCAGACAATACCACTGAGCTTTTTGAGGTTGAGCTCGTCTTGGGATGGCTCGAGTCTGTCGGTGCAGTTAAGAAGACGGTCGGCGGTGGTTACATCACCCTCCCATGCTTCTGGGCTGTTTTCGGTGACGAGCTACACGACACGGCAAATGATTGGTTTGGCGAACATGTTAAGCGAAAGCCAAAGAACCACGAGAAGCAGCGTTGGCGCTTAGATTACAATCTGAGACACTCTACACTGCAAGCACACACCACACAGCGCGCTGGCACTACTTCTGCCATGGACGAAGAAGGCCATACAAACACAGCAGACGCTGGCGCGGTAGAGACGCACACCAGCCGTCAGATCTTGAAGAATCCAAGCCAGCAGTATCGCATCGTGCAGCAAGCCCTCGACGCTCAGCCACCCCAAGAGCATCAGGACCGATCAGACACTGTCGTAACCAACAGTTCGGCAGCCACCAAAGAGGTTGAACAGTCCCCTCCTACTGAGACGACAAAGAAGTCCGACGAGGACACAGAGATGGCAGATGCCAACATGGACGCAGAGTTTGATGAGGACGTCGACGCCGAGGGCGAAATCGATGACGACGTATACTAAGACGAAGGATTGATGATGAATCTTATCATCGTCTCTTTCTATACCTTTCCACTTCGTACACACACACACACACATCTCCCTAAAAAAGTTTTTGCTGTTTTTTTTTACACATATGCATAGCGAGGCGCACACCGTGGGCTTGATACCACCACGACTTTGGCAAATGGGACTTTGTGTCAGACAATACTTGTACAGTAGATCTTTTTCCAATACTGGTTATGTGGGCGATGCGAGATGCGAGACGCAGCAATATAAAAACCTTGCTCGTGAGTTTCCATGCCTCTATGGATTTTAGTATGTGATGATTTTCTTGTGTTCTGTAGGCTTTGATAATTGTCACCGTCTGTGGAGGTATGTATACTTATGCCAGATACTCGCCCTCGCTTAAACTGGTTTTAGGAAACCCCTAAGTCTCGTGTTTTATTCCCTCTTCATCTTAGCTATCAAGACGCTAATCTCCACGCAGATCCAAATTCGACTAATGATGCGCTAGCTTCTAGTTTCCTTTGATGTGTATCTCCTCGAAGCGTTCTCGGGGTCAAGTTGACTGTTTTATGAGCAATTTTGACGCGCTGACATGGTGGCTTTCACAATGCAGTAGTAGAGTACTCGAGATACCAATAAGGCACTATGCTATATACTTCAGATACAACAAGTAGGCAGTAATACGTAATACTTGTAGCAAGCGATAGTCGTTAGCAAACGCGAGAAACCGTTTCAAAGACGATACGCTTGCATTCGCGACTCTGGGCAGTGATGTACAAATGGTCAAGTTGATTGTAATAATCTGGTATTTCACCACGGGATACTAATAGCTATCGTTCAAGGTCCTTGGAAGAGAATTGCTCCAACGAGCATTATAACCCGTACTGTAGTGCTAAGTGGGTGGGGGGGGGGGGTTTACAGGCAACCCCTCACAGCACCAATGTTGGCGCAATACTTATACTGCGGACACTCGTATATCAATGACCCGTGATAGCCATTGCACCGTATCTAAAAAGACAGGGGGGAATGCTTAGCCCAGAATGCAATAGAAGTTGAGTTTACCATACGTACAATTTTCGAGCCGTCGGACGAACATTCCTATAGATATATATTAGTTTTTTCTCACGAGAAGTAATGCAGTATACGATGATAGCATGTGGCTTTCATACAGTGTAAGCGCCTTTCGGGTAGAGACACTGTGCTGAGACCATGATGGGAATCAAGGCTACAGCTGTAAATTCCGCGTAACTGAATCTCATGGTTGGGGGTGGTTTTTTATTTTGGGGGTTGGGGGTTGCAGTAGATAAGAGTAATAGAAGGTTTATAGGTGACTGGACTGGTAACAAAGCGGACAAGTATAAGTAGAGACGAAGAAATGCGTGAAGAGAGAGAGAGAGAGTCGTACGCTCTCTTAAATAATCTCCCTGTATTCCAGCCACTATAAGGAAACCCCTTCTCCTCCTTCTTCTTCTTCTTCTTCTTCGTCTTCGTCTTTTTTAAATCGAGACTGTGCTTTTTTCAACCCACTGTAGTTAGCAGCGCGCACTCACTCGGGCAAATATCAAATAGCCCTACTATACGATCGATAGAGCTCGTATATTTTTTTTAGTGTGTGTGTGTGCGTGCGTGTGTGTGTGCCTACTACGCTATATAAATACGGAGAGATCAACGAGATAAGAAAAACCACATACTTATAGTGAAGGCCAAAGTTTTTGGCATGCTAAGTATTCGAAATTATATGTGAGTACACTTAATCGTATCATAAGTAGCACTACAGTAGCACAGCGTGCATACTTCACATCACTACGTATAATCATGTTTATTTTTTTTAAATGGAATAGCAACAACAATTTTAAATCACTTTGGTAATAGGTGGGGGCTACCACGAAAACACGAGCTCCCTTATAAGTAGCGGCACCCCCCCCCCTCATCAAAAGAAATCGAACAGTGCTGGGCTGAATACAGTCAGAGACTGTTGGATTTTCTTTTGATGAGAGGCTGGCGGTGTGTGTATTAGGGTTGCATGTACATACTGTACTATGCCAAATGTTTTCCCACTCGGCCTTTTCAACCCCCCCCCCTCCCCTCCCCTATGTTAAATTCAGCATTTCTTATATGCGAAGCGCTTTTTTAAGTTTATTCAAAGAAAATTATACTCGCAGAATAGGCTGGGGGGTTGGTTTTTTTTGTAGTGAGAAAACGTCTTGCGATGAGGAACTTGTTCAAGTGCAGTAGCGAGGCGCTGTTAGCATTGAAACATGCGAAAACGGAGCTCGGATCTCTCGTGTCTCTTATCCATTGCTCACGTGTTTAGATTGTTGTTATGAATATTCCTACAGCAAGCACTGTTACAATGCTAAGAGATATGCAATTTTGGGCTGCCATGCTGTTACCACGCTGCTGTGGCTATACTCGCCATTCTGCCATTTCTAGCGTTTGCTATGTACTGGTACGATTGGATAGCTTGACCGCGACAGACTCCAGACCAAACCTCCTACCCTCTCAGCATCCGCCTAGCTAAAAAGCCACAGAGTTTCTTCGAGCTACTCAACGTTGATTTCTCCTTGCACGAGAACACTCTCCGGTAAGACAAGTTTATTTTTATTTTTTTTACTATGCAGCATATATTTATCCAAAGTGATACATGCTCTGTTCTCCCTACGTACAAGTGATATGTAGCAGCAGCAAACAATAGCAGGTAAGAAACCCATACTAATTTCTGGCCGCGACGAGGGAGTAAATAAAGAAAAATAAGAGGGGAAAAAGAGAGAGAGAGAGAGAGAGAAACGCCAGACGCCTCGTCCCGTTTTGGTAACAGTTACACATGAGGACATTGTAGATTTCAAACCCGTTTCTAGGCCACACCCCACTCCTTTGCGTATATCCACACACACACACAAATGTGTCTTTTTTTTACTTCTTAACCGTCTTGGTAGCCTTTGCCACGACCTTGACGAGCTCGGCATATGCCTCTGCGAAGTCGTCGTCGCCCTCTGCCGCCTTCTTGCCCAGCTTATCCTTGCCAATCATGACAACGCTCGTAGGCCGCTTTGTAGCGCTAGCCTCGCCGAGTTGCGCGCGGCTCTTGATGTAGATGTAGGGCACGTTGTGGTCTTCGCAGAGAACAGGAATGTGCGCAATGACGTCCATGGGCGAGATGTCGGCGGCGATGACGACAATAGCAGAGGGGTCCGTCAGCGTGGAGCCAGCGCCTGCGACGGCGGATTTGCGCAGCGCTTTGACGACTTCTTTGACGCCGCGGCGGAGCGTCTTGGATTTGGCGGCTGTAAAGGGGAAAAACATATACTGTTAGTTACTTATTCTTTTTTTTGTATGTGCGTGTGAGCGCATGGCTAGAGACGTACATTTCTTGACTGTCTTAAGGATCTTCTTGACTTCCTTGTCGTTGTCGGCCAGAGGGAATGCAAAGGGAACAAGGGCGCCGCGAGGCTCGTCGTCGCCGGATGCGCCGTCTACGACATTGACCATGGAGACGTCTGGTTCTTTCTCGAGCTCGGCCTCTAGTGCGTCTGCCATTTCGACGTCACCCTTGACCTTCTTCTCCTTCTTGTCCTTCTTGCTCTTGGATACGCCATCCTTCTCGGCGCGCTTTTCCTTCTTTTCCTTCTTCTCCTTCTTCAGCTTCTTCTCCTCGATATCCTTGGACATTTTGAGTTTACGCGACTTTTTTTTGCTAGGCAAATAGGAGAAGAAATATATGTGTGCGAGTAGGGCGGATAATGCGTGGAGCTGCAAACGGACGGGCGGCTGTAGCTGGGCCTCGAAATTTTGGAAAAGTTCAATTGGAGCTCTTCGCGCTAGAGATGCATGGTGGTCTGTGTGTCGCCATTATCGATTAGTGGGTCAACCAACCCAACCACCAACATTAAACCTTTGTCGACAACACTCACAGCGCATCAGCATCATGGGCAGCGTTTGTTCAATCTTTGAATGGTCATAGCAAAACATGTTCATACAGTACTAGTTGTAATCATAATCTACCCACACATTGGCATGGTCAATCTACTACTTCCATCTCGCCCTTCGTCGCCGCACAAAGACGCTTCATGAAATACTATGGTATATGAACAATGAACCCCAATAGCTCCATGACGAAAAGAGACAAGAAACACTAACAACTAGCCAGCGGTATTAGCAAGAAAATAAATGCAGCAGAGATAAACGCAGGCAACGGCATCGAAGCATAGCGATAACGCGCCTGGGGCCAGCCTCCAATAGTCCAGAAATGCTGATGGGTATGAGCGAGGGAAAGATATTAGGATGCCAAACAAGTCGAGCGCATGCTCAAGTGTGTAGGAATCTGGACGACTGCCCCGGTGCGCCGTAATACCCCAATCTTGAAATAATAAAACGAGAAAAAGGAACAAAGCACGTGATGCCTGGCGCGCGCCCAAACTCCATGACATGCTCCCAGATGCAAGGAGATGACTATAGCAAGACGAACGTAAAAACATCGCAGTGGCAAATAGACAGAAAAATCGAAATCGAAACAGACCGAAAACGAGACTGCTGGAAATCTACCGGACCTAGTAGGCCATTTGCATCTCGAGGACTTGAACGCCACCAGCCGCCATGGACGGTGTGGCAGATCCAGAGCGAGAAGACATGGCATCTTCGTAGCCGACGAGAGCCTGTGAATGGAGTTTGAAGGCTTCGCCCATGAGCTTAGTGATACTGTGCAATGTTAGTGGCAAGCTTCGTAGAGAAATGGTAGAGCAGACATACCCCCAAACAACAACCTCGTCGATCATGCTGCCCCAAAGTCGAGCGACAGTGGAGCTCAATTTTGCGCCATAGACATCTACCGAGTCGTCGTCGAACAGGTTGCGCAGCTTGTTATACATGGCCAACTCTTCTTCGGTGGCTGGTTCTTCGTCGTGTTCCAGGCGGTAGAGCCACAGGGTCAGAATTACCATTAGGTCCATACCAGTAAGAGGGTGCTCAATACTCCAGTTAGTGGCCGAAGTGCGTGCAACCCAGCGGATGCCTTGCACGGCGGCGACCTCGATGCAGTCGAAGCACTCCTGAATGACCTTGATCATCTCCGGTGAGCGCTGAACCTTGTCGCGGGCGTTGGTCATGGCGGCAGCGACTTCGTACGAGTCGTGGTAGCGCAGAGCCTCCTGGATGGACTTGAGGTCAACGACAAGTCGAGCGCGCGTGTTCCTATACAGGGCCATGGCGTTGAAAATGAGTGGGTGGCCCTTGTGAGGGGCGCTCAGCTGAACCACGACCGTCTCGGGCTCGCATAGTTCAAGCGACTTCTCCCATGTCTCGAGGGCCAGCCGAAGCTTGTACTCGGTGACTACATCCTGAAGAGCTTCCGGGCTGCGCTTGTGGTACCACACTTCGAGGAACAGAGCATTGATCATGACGCGTGTGGCGAATGCACTGTAGCGGGCAGTCTCGCCTTGGAAGAGATTGTCGTGCGCCTGGCGGAAGGTGATGATCTTGGACGAGCTCAGGCTCTCACGCCAGGCATCATCGTCTGAAACCTCCATAGTCCAGAGCGACTCCGAGGAGGGCAGCTCGAGGGTATCGAACTCGTTGAAACCCATGGCAGGCGTGTGGTTGTAGGTAAGAGTCAGCAGGCCAAAGAAGATGTAGACGGCGTAGTAGGTTCGGCGACATTGCTCATCCACAACCCATTCCTCGTGGTTTGGCTGGGCACCTTCGCGAGCATCAGACCGGAGCTTGAGCTCATATCGGTTTCCGGCAACCATGTTCGCCAAGAGACTCTTGATTGAGCAAGCCCACTCGAGCCCCTTTGGATCACCGCTCCAGCTCGAGAAGATCATGTTGAGCAGGGTGCTCTGCATAGTCCACAGAGGACATTTGCGCGAGCTGAAGTTTTCCTTGTTCTGCAGGAACTGGTTGACGAGAACCTTTGATCCAATGTGGAGCATGTATGCCTGGTCCTGGTCGAATATGTACAATGCACCTATCGATAGCACCGCGAGGAGCAGTGGGGCCGACACCTCGGTGGGGTTAAAGGTGGCGGGGTGCAAGAAGGGAAGATGGTGGTGGAACAGATCAAAGTAGGTCTTGAGCAAGCGGTTCAGCGTGTTGAGGCTGGGCAGGTGGAATGTCTCGAGAAGTGCGTTTTCGCTGTCGTACTGCTTGATGTTCTCGTAGATCCTCGCGCACTGCTCTTCCGAGTCCAATTGAGGGGCTCGTGTCATCATCAGGGCCTGGTTGGGACCGGGCGACTTGCGGTAGTCGACGGGCGACACAGGCCCCATCATGGAGGGGTAGGGCGAAAGAGCACCTGGGGTACCAAGGCCATTGGCACCGTTCATGGCAAACGTGGGCGCGAGGCTGTCATTGCCGGACATGGTGCGCTCCATCAAAGGGGGCAGCTGGTGAGGATGCGAGCCGAGCGCGCCAGCCGAGGTAAAGGCCGAATGGGTGTTGGGAGACGACTTGGGCTCGGACTGGGGCACCATTGAATCTCTCCAGGGCATCTGGGGAAGCATGTTCTGGCCCGGGGCGGTGTAGGGGATGACAGGCTCCATCATCGGGGGGCCGGTGGGGGATATAACGGGCTCGTTGTGCTCGGGAATCATCTCGGGCTCTTGGCTGGCCATGGCCTTGTGGTGGAAGTCGGTCATGAGCATGGCGGCCGCATTGAGGTCTTCATCCTCGTGCATGGCCTCGTTGTCGGCTTCGATGCGCTCGAGCGTCGTGGCATTGTCGACGGCGGGCGGCGGTGGCTGGGGCTGGGGCTGCTGCTGCTGCTGCTTCGAGGAGCCGGCATCGGCTGTCTTGGTGGAGCGCCGCTTCTGCTCGCTGGGCAGGGGCGCGCCGCCGTCTTTGGCGTGGACGGTGCGGTCGTGACGAAGGAGGAGGTCGCGACGCACAAAGGTGCTGCGGCACTTGAGGCACTTGAAGGGGCGCTCTTTGGTGTCTGGGGTGAGGGGCAGTTAGCAACACTGTGTCTGTCTTCCCCGCAGCGCGACCACGGCGCGACGGTCCCGCATCAGTAAACAGCTACCCCGCTCTAAACAAGCAGAGCTCCATCGCGACACGGAGAGGTGCACTTACGGGATCGCTCGTGACGGCTGCGATGCTCGCTCCGGCTGAAGGCGCGGTTGCAGAACTGGCACTTGTACTTCTTCTCGGGCGCGCCCGTCTTGCGGCCGGCGGGCGACGAGTTGGACGCCATGTGGGCGGAGCAGAGAGGCAGCAGACGGCTACAGCAGATTCAGGCGGATGCTCGTGGGATGAGGGGACGGCCGGCGCGCGCGGGCGGGCGTTAAAGTGTGTTGTTGTTGATGATGGGCGTGGTGCAGCGGCTGTACTCTTCGTTCATGCCGCGCGTTTGCATACAAGTGGCGGGACAAGACCGGGGATGGCCGGCGGCGGGGAGGAATATACAGGCGTCAGCGCCGTGAGGCTGCGTGCGCAATGATGAAAGCCGCGGGCTGCGTGCGAGTTGAGATGGAGGCGAGCGGCGCGAGGGCGGAATAAGGAGACCAAGAGGGGCAGCCGCCAAAATCAAGAGATGGGGGGGGGGGAGAGGCACAGCGCACAGTCCGCCAAATAGCAGGCTCACCAGCCCAGCCATCCCCTGGGATCTTCTCGCGGGACCGAATAATTGCGTCCAGCATGACAGCGCTAGCGACTCCGACGCCAATTGTTGATGGATTGCAGCCGTGGCATCCCACGTTGTATTTGCTTGTATGTACGTACGTGGTAGACAGGCTCCGCCCGCCATTGCTGTCACCTGTGCGTGTGCAGGGAGGGTGCTGCCCGCGTGCTGCTGGTGGGCTGGCGGGCTGGCGGGCTGGCGGGCTGGTGGGCTGGTGGCCACCTTGGCCTCGCCAGCATCGCGACGGCTGCCTCGAGTCGGGTGTGCCCTCCACCCCTCGCACACATCACACACCTCATCATACACACACACACACACTCGCGCGCGCTCGCTGCCCCTCCTCTCCGTCTGCCTCCCCCCCCCCTCTGCCCGCCTCGCGTCCCCTCTGCCCCCCCTCGTCCTCTCCCCCTCGCCCTCTCCCCCTCGCCCTCTCCCCCTCGCCCTCTGCCTCCCCTCCACCCCCTCCCCTCCCACGCCAAATTTGCCGCACACTATCGCCAGTTCCCGCCATCCGGCCACCGCCCTCGGTCTGCCGCCATCCGCCCCTCAGCGTCGCCGTCGCCCCTCGCCCAAACCACGCCCGTCCAGCGCGCACATGCAGTCGCGGCGCCCGCACGCCGGGTACTCCCTTAGGCGGCGGGCTGGACCCAATTGCAACATGGCAGACGCCTGTCCAATGGTTTTGCTCGCAAGATGGCGTCTGGAGCCTGGTCTCGCCGTACCGCCCGCTGTCAGCGGAGTCGAGGCTCGATGCACCACTTGTGGCGCGACATCTCAAAGAAGCGGTAAGAGGGTCGAGGCAGCTTTTACCTCTTGAGTGAGTAGTCTGCTGGGGCGCCAGTTCTCAGATGCACGCCGAGCGCATTGAGCCTCACCGCCTCATTTTGCGTGCCTGCGCCATTGCTGCTGGCCCGAAGCCCAACAAGACACAGCATGGCCGTGGGCTGCCCCTCGGTGGCCCGCTGGCTTGCGCCATGACGACGGCACGCAAAAACAAAACAAAAAGGGGGGGCCGCCGCTGCCCCTCGCCCAGCACACGGCGCGCGCAGGATGACGCCAGGAGTACCCTTCAGACGCCCGCGATGCAGTGCTGTGTGTGGGTGGCTGCGAGTAATTTGGAGCCGATCGCCGACTGCCCTCAGTCGTTCCTGGAACTCTATCCATAGCTGCGGGCCATGGTCCCGTTCCCCGGACCCACCGCGCGTGCTAGGCTGGCCCACCACCTGCAGCAGACGGTAAGAGGCCGTGGGTGCTGGTGCTGGTGTAGCGCCCTCGCCCGCGCCCTCGCCCTCGCCCTCGCGCAGCGGCGGGCCTGCCGCGACGGTGCTGTGCTGTTTTGCGCATGCTGGCCGCTGAACAATGCCATCAGGCCATCATGGCGACGAGGGGCTGTCGCCGGCGTCAGCCCACAACGACGGCCTCTCTGCCGCGGTTGCGGGTCAGCGTCATATGTAGTAGCAGCAGCGTCGGCTAACCATGCCCCGCTTGGGTCGGGGATGCGCGTACTGTCCTGGAGCACATAGCGTCGGTCGCCCCTTCACCGTCAGTCCGTGTGGGCTGGCCATGGCGACACATGGCTCCCTCTGCCTCTCTTGCACCTAGGTGTACACTACACCCAATGTACAATCAACCCCTCACCCACCGCCGTGTCAGAGAGGGGCATGGCTTCTGCCCCCAAGCCCCCAAGCCCCCGCGCTAGCACGCTTCACGTAATGCTTTAGAAGCGCAACGCGGCTTCGTGGTCGTGGTTTCAAGTCGCATTGCATGGTCTGTCCACGCCACACGGACACGATAGGGCCGGCACCGATCCGCCTGCGCCGTGAGATAATTTCAACAAGGCCACGGCAAACGACTAGAAGTTATTAGGGCCACGCCCTATACCTCACCAAGCCGGCTTATTGCAGGGTATCTTGGTCATCTTTGTCTGGATAGCACGCTGGCTCCCACCCGTCCCTCTGCTCATGAACAAGGCGACTTGCCAGGTCATCTCGACAGCGTGCACTCGCAGCTCGCGCGCCTCCCGTTGCGCTGTACAAGCCTTCAGTCGAGCCCCTCCCTTGCCTACTGCGACCCGTCGTCGTCGTTTCTCAACCATGCCCATGTCCCGGGAGCGACAGCAACATCGCCATGGAGCGGGTGAGTGGGTGGGTGGCCGACCCACCCACACCACTTTGGCCCAGCGTCGCAGAACCCAGGAGTCGACGCTTCCGCTTCCACGCGACTCATTAAGCAAATTCGAGAATGGTACCGGCCACTAAAATCCGCCATAATCACTCCGAGCTTCCATCGCTCCTTCGACGATGAAAGACTCGTGTCAGTCACCGCTTTCATACCCTTGGGCGGCTGGGAGTGGTGGCAGTCGTGGTGGTGGGTGGCTAGGCCCAGCGTTATTAGTCTTACCCCATGGCCTTTGGAGCCCTGCTGGCTGCACGCCCTCTACATCATCAGGCTCAAGCCTTTGTCTCGTCAGACCAAGCCGATGGGCGAGGGGGCGTCTCCTGCTGGCGTGTGTGCAGCTGCAAGCAACCTTCGGCGCAAACAATGTGCGAGCAAGTCAAGACGCTAAGCGTCACAAGTCGAGGACTGTATGGTCGCGCAGGACACAGAGGGTCGCACGTACGTACAACCCTCGATTCCTCCGGCGTGCGTCCGCAGAAAGAGGCAGCCCCCCCTGCCGTCCTTCACGACCACGTTTCATAGCGCATAGAAGCGAGAAAGGGTAGCGAGTCAGGCCGTCTTCTAGACGAATTGACATGTGTACGGAATGCCTGAGGCCCCCGCTCTTGCTGCCAGGCCCTTCGTCCGGCGTCGGCATGCCAAAGCCATGGCGGGGGTTTTTGCACGGTTCCTGGCCCTGCCACGCCACGATTGGGTGGCCAGCGGAAGACTGCGTTGGTACATATGTATAGATATGCGGCAGCCCGGTGTGAGCAGGGCGGCTGACGTGCGACTTCGTGGATGCGCCCGCCGGCTCAGGGTCGTCGCGTTGCCGAGAGTGCCAGTATGAGTATGAGCACCAGTGTCCATGTAGATTGCGCCCATGCACAGCAACGGGCTGGAGACAGGCTTCGCATATAGACATGCATGAAGATTACAATATCTACGCAAGCACGCGCGCTCCAAGCAGCCTTCTCTTGAGGGATGGGCCCGGGGCTTGACACATTGTTAGCTGCTTTTATCCATAACCCAGCACAACACGTGACTTACGGCAGCAGTGTCCCCACAGTTGGCGCCTCCACCGCTCACGACGCCTGCCCAGCGACCCGCCCTGGTGTTGCAGTTTCTTTCGCTCCAGAGCTTTCTTCTTCTCGACACTAATCATACCAGAGGGCCAGCTGCAACCGTCGATTCGCTGCGTTGCCCAGCCAGGCGCGAATGTAAGGCTTCTCATTCGTATGCCGGTCCCGCCTCTAGCCCAATTGCATGCCCTCATCCACCCCCGGCCATAACACGCGGGCTATCTGACCCTCCCAAACGACCGCGTTCTGAGATCAAGCGGCCCGTCTTGCGACAACTTCTATTCTCGTATCGGGTCGCCCAAGAGAGGGGCATTTTCGCTGCCGAGTGTGCGGACGTCGTCGTTGCTGCTCTCCTATACCGCCCCCCCCTCCCCTCCCCTCCCCTCCCCCTCGAGCTGGCCGCACCCTCCAATATGAACGGCTTTAGTGGCACGACCGACGCTGGCGGCATGTACGTCAAGGCGCTCTACGACTACCAGGCAGACGACCGTACGAGCTTGAGCTTCCGGACGGGCGACATAATACAGGTCATTACACAGCTGGAGAGTGGTTGGTGGGACGGAGTCATCCACGGGGTCCGTGGCTGGTTCCCAAGCAACTATTGCGCCGTCGTGCAGCGCCCGAGCGAAGACATCGAGGAGGACCGAGATGGCGCAGACGCCGACGACGATACGCGTTCAGCCAGCGGCGCAGAGGGCGACTACTCCGACGACGGCTCGTTGAGCGGTGGGAACGACACCATACTGCCCATCGAGCGCAACACGGGAACGCACAACCAGGAGGAAGAGGCGGCCTTCTGGATACCCCAAGCCACTCCCGATGGACGGCTGTTCTACTTCAACACACTCACCGGCGTAAGCACCATGGAGCTGCCCTTGGAGTCACCCTCTACAAACGAAAACGGCCCGCGCAACCGCACCGATGTCTTCATACCGGAAATGTCGCGACCGCCAGCTGAGCTTCTGGCCTCAGGCTCTGGTTACAACATGGAAGACACCGACGATGAAACATCGGCATCCGACTTCGAAGGTCCGGGGACCAAGGGCTCATATAGCTCTCGTGTAAGTGCTGCATTTGCCCTCCGCCTCTCGTGCGAGCGCGCTCTGACGATGGATTACAGCACAGACAGCGCTTGTCTGGCGGCCTATCATCGGCGACCTCAATGGAGTCTATGAATGGAGGCTACCACGGCAGGTCCTACGATCAAGGCAGTATGAGCTTTGCCGCCTCCACCGCCATGCCTCCCACCGGTACGACGGCCACATCCTTTGCGAACAGCCCTGGCCTTGGCGGACCAAACAGTGCCACTACCCCGTCACGCAAGTTTTATGATGATGTCAGCCCGGTCCCTCTTACTTGGAACAGAATGGTCGAGGACATGCGACGCGCTGTTGAGCGATACAAGCAGGCCATCAACAACAGTGACAGGTCCGAGTTTGTAAAGCGAGCTGAGGACATTTCGGATCACCTGCGACTATTGCTCGCAGCGGGTTCAGGGACGACTGACAATCACTCTGGCAACCCTTCCATCATATCCACCAACAAGGCCCTATACCCTCACTTCAGAGAGACCATGTCGCGCTTCTCAAAGCTCGTACTGTCTTCGCATATTGCTGCATCCGACTTTCCTCCTCCAGACTCGTACTCAAAGTGTCTGAAAGAGGCAGAAGGCGTCATGAATGGCGTTTTTGGGTTTGTTGAGGTAGCGCGCCAGCAGCGAGGTGAAGAGATACCCCGTCTTGTGCCTGGATTCGTCGTCGGCAGCCACACCGGTGGCAACTGGCAGAACAATGGCGCAGATTCGCAGGATGTCAACACCTCGATGTATTCCGACCAAGAAGACAACGAACCCGCTGTCGAAGCGACGCTCACGCTAGATTCCCGTGTCCTGGAACGACTGCAGGATCTCAAGAGATTGATCATTTCAAACCTCCGTCGCTTGGACGAGCTATTGGTAGTAAGGGATACCGTCATCTCGCACCAGCAACACCAGGCGCTAGGCGACCACATCTGCAGTGCGGCCGGCAAGGTGCTTGAAGCATGTCGTCCCTGGATGTCAACAGTTGAACAAATCAACCTCGCATCCCTCGACTTGGACACCCAAGCAGCGCAGCTCAGCGAATTCAGCATACAGAAACAGAAGACTTATGACGCAGTCTCCGAACTCGTGATAGCGTGTCAAGGCGTAGCAGCGCCTTTGGGAGACGAGTGGGCCGAACTACGTGGTGACTCTCTGGATGACCGAATCAACGCTGTGCGGGCCATTACCCGAGACCTGGACGCAACCTATACCCAACAATTTACCTTGCTACAGAACTTGTCGGAGAACATACCTTTAGACGACATCGTAAACCGCTCAGACCCTCGGAGAAACACTGACAGTGAACTATCGAGCCACACTCGCATTCCATCCGGACCTGAGAGGCCGCTACTCGGCAACATTCCCAAAGCAGACACATACGCAGGTACTTCTCTTGACGACGCCAAGATTGAGCCGATCCGTTCTGCCAACAGCAACAAGAAGCTCAAGGATTTCTTTGGTGAGGTACCAGTCATTCCACAGCAAACAGTGGAAGAAACTCCAGAGTACCTGAAGCTCGATCATGAGGGCGAGATTTCCTACGACCACAAGACCGCGCCACCCCAGCTCAAGGGTGGTACGCTGGCAGGTCTTGTCGAGCAACTGACGCGCCATGACCGTTTGGATCCCGCCTTCAACAACACCTTCCTACTCACCTACCGGTCCTTTACGACCGCTTCCGAACTTTTCGAGATGTTGGTAAAACGATGGAGTATCCAGCCACCGCATGGTCTAGCCAAAGAGGACTACCAGCATTGGGTGGACAAGAAACAGAAACCAATCCGATTCCGTGTTGTCAACATTCTTAAGAGTTGGTTTGACAACTACTGGATGGAGGGTAATGACGAAGAGGCACGCATCCTGATCCAGCGCGTGTACAACTTTGCAAAAGATCACGTCGCAACCACCAGTACCCCTGGAGCAGCACCTTTGATGACCTCGGTCGAGCAAAGATCCCGTGGACCAGACATGCCAACCAAGCGACTGGTTCTTACCTTGAGCGCCCAGACGCCACAGCCCATCCTCCCTAAGCACATGAAGAAACTCAAGTTCCTCGACATTGACGCAACCGAATTCGCGCGTCAACTCACAATCATCGAGTCCAGACTATACGGCAAGATTCGTCCAACAGAATGCTTGAACAAGACGTGGCAAAAGAAGCTTGCGCCTGGCGAGCCCGACCCAGCCTCGAACGTGAAAGCACTCATTCTCCACTCGAACCAGTTGACAAATTGGGTCGCGCAGATGATATTGACGCAACAAGACGTGAAGCGGAGAGTGATTGTCATCAAGCACTTTGTCAATGTAGCAGACGTGAGTTTATTTGACACCTTTGCGCGCTGCAGATAGCTAATGAGGTGTAGAAATGCCGGCAACTGAACAACTTCTCCACTCTAACCTCCATCATCTCGGCTCTAGGTACTGCGCCGATTCATCGTCTCAACCGAACCTGGAGTGCCGTCAACCAGCGCTCAATGGCTACTTTGGAAAGCATGCGCAAACTCATGGGTAGCACCAAAAACTTTGCCGAATACCGAGATACTCTGCACAGGGCGAATCCACCGTGTATACCCTTTTTTGGTACATGATGTCCTTTCAGAGTAACTAGGTCATGGACTAACACGTATCCAAGGTGTCTATCTCACGGACTTGACCTTTATCGAAGACGGTATTCCATCTTTGATCAAACGCACCAATCTCATCAACTTTGCCAAGCGCGCGAAGACGGCCGAAGTCATTCGCGATATCCAACAATATCAAAACGTACCCTACCCTCTGCAGCCGGTTCCCGAGTTGCAGGACTATATCCTCACCAACATGCAATCGGCGGGCGATGTGCATGAAATGTATGAGATGAGTCTGAGCGTTGAACCCAGAGAACGCGAAGACGAAAAGATTGCAAGGTACGTTACTTTTTCTTTCTTTGTCCGAGAGAACGATGGAGCTAACAGCGATTTAGGCTTCTCTCTGAGAGTGGATTCTTGTAATAAGAGAGACTAAAACCACCACCACCACCACCTACCTACCTACCTACCTACCTACCTACCAAAGAATGTGTCCATGACGATGATACCCCCTTCCCTTTCCCTTTGGACGAAGAACCTCGCACTGGTGGGAAAGTCTTGTTTGGATCGATGCGACTTTTTGCTGCGGCGTTATATGAGAGGGCGTTATTTTGGATCGTATATTGGGTTATTTTCTTTTTCTTTTTCTATTCCTTCTTCAATCTACTCTTCTTCTGACTTCATCTTCTTCTTCACCTTTAGTTTTAACATTTTTCTTTTTCTACTCTTTTTTAACTTCTTCTACACCTTATACTTGTTCTTTTCCGACTACTACTTTTTATACCTATTAATGAAGAAACGGAAAGAGTTGGATGCGTCGCTTTTCGGCCTTTATTCCCCCACTTATCTACCTACCTACCCACCTATCTCCCTTGATTCTTTCTTCCTTTTTTTTATATATGTTTTCTTTGCTGTTTTGCTGGCGGTATGTATTGGGAGAGAGTATAGATGTAGTGGATGTGAGGTGGGGGATGGGGATGGTTTTTTTGTTTTCTTCTTTCGCTCGCATCGCTATCACTCTCGCTCTTCTTCTACATATCGCCAGTAACACATCCTTCTTCTTCTTCTTCTTCTTCTTCTTCTTCTTCTTCCTCTCCTCTCTTATTCCTTCTCTTGTTCCTTCCTCTTTCTTCTTCCCACTCTATCCCATGGCGCCTCCCATCTAATCCTTTTCTACACCTAGGTTCTAGTTGCGCACTCTGTCACACATACACATACACACATATACACATATACACACGCGGGCACGCGCGCGCGCAAGAAGAACCTCCTCCACTCCATCCCTTCACTCCTACAACCTCATGAACCCTTCCAGGTGTAGTTATTTTTCTTTCTTTCTTTCTTTTGTGATACAACCAACAAAAAAACGGGGGGGGGGGCAATTAATATCAACATTAGGTGTTTCTCTTGCTTTTCTTCTTCTTTCAGGAAAGGGGGGGGGGTTAGTGTTTCGTTTAATCCTTTGTCTTTTAAAGGTTGGGAAAATCGGAGTTTATATATATATAACTATATAATACTATTATTTGTTTATTCATTTATTTATCTATCTACCTATTCCCACTATTCTCACCATCTATCTAGTAAAGTGAATCAAGAGTTCATCTTGTTGTTGTTTGTTTGTTGTTTGTTGTTGTTTTATTCAGACGCTTTTTTTTTGAAGGGGGGGGGGGTGGATCGTTCCGTAGGCTTTTTACTGATTTGTTAATGTGTTAATATGTTTGTTATACGCATGCATAGAAGCCGAGGCTAAGATACTCGAGTCTACCTAACCGAGTCATACCTGTCTTTCTCTCTCTCTCTCTCTCTCTCTCTTTCTCTAAGTATCTGTGTTTTGTACAAAAGGAGCGCATCTTCACTACATACCAAGCAAGAAGTACGTGCGCATGTATATGCAACATGGTAAAGTCCATGTCTATATGTATCTCTTACCACTGTCCATATCTTTCTATACTTGTGTGCATCTTCATGTGTACCTTGCGGATTGGGTATAGATACTATGTACGTACTAGATATCCTTGTTCTCCTCTCTCTCTCTCTCTCTCTCTCTCGCTTTCTTTCTTACTCCTCCTTTTATCGTCCGCTGCATGCCGTGCCTTGGCGTAAGACAGACGATCCGCATCCCCTTGTTTGGCGAACACTGTGTGTGTGTGTGTGTGTGTGTGTGTTTAGTCCCCGGGACAAATAAATAGCTGCACATGTATGTATGTATGTATGTATGTATGTATGTATGTATGTATGCAAGCCGTTGTCGGGCAAATCCCGCCCAATTGTTCTTCACAGTGAGCACGAGACGCCGGAGAATCCTTCCTATAAAAGGTCAAGAATAAATACACACACATGACCGCTCACCCCTATATACGGATGTGGGCAGCTGTTTTTTTTGGGGGGGGGGTTCGTTGTACGAGCTTGGCGGTTGGCAAACAGCGGGGGTGACTGCCCTCCTCTCTCTCTTTCTCTCTCGGGCGCATTTGTTCTTGATGATGGGGGGCGGAAATTGGGAATGGGAGCCAAGCCCCCGTGTTGGGAAGTTTTATTTTGTTACGTTGGACGAGTGAGCACGCGCGCACGCACGCAGACAGAGACGATATAACAGAAAGGTGTTATTTTTTTTCATCATTCCATAGGTAGTGTGTTAAACTCAGGGTTCAGCAGTTGGAATGGCGAGGCGATGGAAAGTTGTGCATTGCATAAGAGAAAGGGAAAGAGGACTAACAAGAGGTGTACATAGTACCTTGAGTAAGGGCAATGGGGAAAAAAGGGTCGCGCGTGTAGGACAGGATGAGATTGAGTTTTTTTTTTTTTTTACCACCGGGCTTGGAAAGGAGACGACGGTGCGTGATGATCAATGGTTATTCAGTGGGGAGGGCAGTATGAGCATAGCGCGGTACGTACGAGTCGTTGAGTGTATTTACGACGTGCTAGTCAACCGATGGTGAGCAATATGGCGAGATATATCGATAGCGCGGTATTTGTGGTAGAGAGAATGCAACGCGCAACAACGATGTTGTGCCGCGTGGTTGCGTACACAGTGGCGTGGATGCCAGCCAGCCATGGCCCAGCTGTCGCCCAGCTGTAGTGACCCTTTTGCCAAGGTGGATTAGCGGGAAACCTGTGCGCTTAGTGGATAACGTCGAATCGGCAAAAGAAGGACGCCGACCGCCATATTGAGTATTCTTCTGGTGGCCTCGGGCAAATGAAATTAGTATGACCTTGCAGCCTCGCAGGAACAGGCCGCCCAATGTTGCCGCCCGACTATTACAGATGCTCAGTCACCATGGCTAGATAGTCATGGCCAGACTGCCCCGCAAATAAGGTTTGGCCAGGCTGGAACAAGTTTTTGTTTTTGTAGCAACATGGTTGCATCTTTGCGATGACATCCGCCACACAGGAGAGAGCATGTCACGCCTGTCAGTTCTTTGCAGCCCTTGTCTGCCGATAGCCGCCCCTAGGCTGGCTTCATTTGAACGGGCAGCAGGGACTGCAACCACGGCACAGACACGATCGCCTCCGATCAAACACCCAGGGAAAAATGAAAGTGCCTGATTTGTGCAAAATGGAGAAAAACCGTTGGAGCGTGAACATGTATACCCCAGCTTTTTTTGTACAAGGTAGGCAGACTGCGGGCGGTTGGCACTAGCAGCAGCGGTGTGTGCGCGCGCGAGCAGGCTGGGAGGCATTGTGACCTCTGCGATGACGAGGGCTTGGCCATGGAATGGCTGGGTTGCTCGGCCACGTAACGGGCGGGACAAGCTGGGCTGGGTATGGATGCATCTGTACCTCGGATTGGCTTGCGGATGAATTGGAGCCATTATTAGTGCGAAGCCGGGCTACCTGTCGGCTTATTGTGCGTGGTGGTTGCCATTGCCATTGCCATTGCCGTTACCGTTGGTGTTTGTGGTGATTGTTGGCGATGGTGGTGGTGGTGGGGTGGTGTTCCCGAGGATTGCCGGGAGAGAAAAGGGGGGAGGGGCCACAGTAGAAGCGGCACTACGCTGTAAGGAACAACAAACAGCAGTTCTAAGTCCCACAAGGACGAATAGCAAAAGCAAGGTAGGACCGATTGTACCGTGTGGTAGCGTATGTGTAGCATCTTTTCTGCTTCTGTCTCTCCACACGGGAAGGAGAGTGGCAGCAAAAAGAAGAATAGGGCGATGGGGTAGAGCAGCGAGAGCGGCAGGGCCCCTGCTCGCCTAGTGAAAAAGGGCAATTTCCTGGCAGCAGTGGGGGGCTCTGGAATGCAGCGCACGCGCTAAGGGCACGACAAGGGCGTAGCCATGGTCTTGTGATTAGTTCGCTTTTGCCCGAAGGATGCAACTTGGGACGACTAGTGGCGGGAAGGATCTGGCTGAGAGCTGGATGCATGGCGCATGTGAGGAGAGTGCTGCACTGCTGAGAGGCGTGGCGGGAAGCAAGGCATCGCGCGTGGCAGCAGCAGCAGCAGCGGAGGCGGAGGCGCGGATGCTGAGGGCCGGGGGAGAAGTCAAGCAGACGACGGCGACGACACGTGAGGCGGGTGGAATGGCGGAGGATGACTTGGGTGGTTCTCGGGCTTTGTTATGCGCTCATGCACGGCATGCGTAACGCCATGTCGGACGGGACTCTTGATTTGCAAGGCGCAATCTCGACAACGACTGGGCAGAGGCCGGGCAGAGGCCAATCAGCGAGTCGTGAGCAGCCGTGGCGGCCAGTCGCACGTGAGGAGAATACGAGGCAGGCATTAATGAGGGGGAGGCATGCAGCGCCGTTGGGACGAGTGGCGGCTGAAGTGCGGCGAGGCCATGGGGTGAATAGATTGGCGGCAGAGCGAATAGATTGAGGCGCTGTAGACGCGGCGGGCAGGTTGCAGCGCTGGGGGTGATGGCGGCGATGGCGGGCGGTGGTGTAGTAGCGGTGGTGATGGTGGTGGTGGTGGTGGTGGTGGTGTGGTTGTCTGGGGCTGGGTGCGGCTGGACTCGACAGGGCGTGGCCGGCGCCCCCGCCTCTTGAACTCAAAGAAAGCGACGCGCTGCGAGCACTCTGGACTGGGGGGCCGCCGTCTGTCATGCGGGCGCGCACGCGTTATTTCGGTGGCATTCGCGGGCGATCCCTGGGCCGGAGCATGAGCATGAGCACACTCATGGCTCAGGCCCGCCCGCCAGTGGCTTCAGCATATGCTTACTTGCCGCTTTGGGCAGTGCGCGCCGGGGGGAGAGATTTTCCAGAGCAGTTCATCATCAGCGCCGTTCCCTCTGCTGCTGCTGCTGCTGCTGCTCTCGCTCGCCTGCTCTGCCCTGCCTGCCCTGTCCCTCGTTCCTCTTCCCTGCCTGGCCGGCCTCCCTCCCTCCATCCATCCCTACTCCTCCTCCTCCACCACCACCACGCTCCCTCTCGCCCACCCGCCCACGCTCTTTTCTTTTACCCCCGCCCGCCCACTGCAATCGCTCTCTTATCGCTGCTTGCTTTTCTCTCGCTGTTTAAGAGCATTTCGCCTACCTGCCACTCCCCACCTACCCCCCCCCCCGTCTAATATAATTCGCCCGCCATGCCTTCCCGCAACATATGGGCCACAGTGCCCTCGCTGTTACTACTCGCCCTGTCGCCCCTTGGTAAGTTGCCCGCCGCCCGACTGGCCTGCCCAACGCATGCCCCTCGCTGACTGTCTGCACAGCCAATGCTGCCTGTGAGTGCGGCTACTCGGTCAACAAGACGACGGACCCCTCGTACGCCGTCTTCACCGAACTGGTCGAGAACGACTTCCTGCACACCAAGACGGACCAGCTCTCACAGGTTGGCTGGAGACCCCAGCAGTACAATGTCTCGGCCAAGGACGCCCGAGGCCCCTACGGCAAGGCCATGGAAGTGAGCAACGTCCTGACCAACCCTTTCAAGGACGACAATGCCTGGTCGGGAGACGCCGAGCACGGTGGCGATGCCGGGCTCGAGCTGTGGGTTCGAGGCAACCACGCCGATGGCTTTGTGAGCAGCGCCGAAGTCGTCAGCATGCGCAACGACTCGAGACTGGGCTCTTTCCGTGTCGGCATGAAGCTGTCCAACTCGTCGGGAACTTGCGGCGCATTCTTCTTTGTATGTTCCCATGCGCCACGCCCACTACCCACCAGTCTTGTCTAATTCGTCTAGTACCACAACAACTCGCAAGAAATCGACATGGAATTCCTCTCGCACCAATTCAACGAGTCCCAGGGCGCCGTCAACCTCGTGCTCCAGAGCCCCCAGTCCGTCAGTAATGGTTTCGCGGCCCAGGGCACAAACGGCTTCGTAGTCAAGAAGCTGCCCTTCCGCCCAGACGAAAAGTTCCACGAGTACCGCTTTGACTGGACCCCTGGCAGTGTCGATTTCTTCGTCGACGGCCAGCTCCTCCACCAGATGACGGAGAATCTTCCCCAGGAAGGCGGCAGTATTTTCTTCAACCACTGGAGCAACGGTGACCCTTCATGGTCGGCCGGCCCACCCGGCCGCGACACCGTCATGACCATCTCGTACGTCAAGTCGTACTTCAACTCGACCGACACGGAGCGATCGCAAAACGCCTACAAGAAGCGCTGCGCCACGTACGACCCAACCAAGGTCTGCGCCATTCCCAACCAAATGACTGCACCGGACCCAAGCTTAGGCCCGGACGCCGCCAAGACATACTTCTTCTCAACCGACAAGCAAGGAGACATGACTCCTGGCCAAACAATCTTTAAGAACGGAGCCACAACAGTATTTGCTGCCCCATTGGCATCCCTCGCCGTCCCTGCCCTCGTCATGCTGCTCAGTGCCGCCCTGGCATGATAGTTTCGGGGACTCCCTACACACACACACACACACACACACAAACACCCTCTTGCGTCAAAAGTTGGACTCTCTTTTTTACGCTTTTCTTTTCCATCAATCGCAAAGACAGCCATCTGTCCCGTGAGCTCGTCATCGACTCGGAACTCTTTTCATGAGCATATGATCACCCACCACCAGACTTTTACGGCGTTTTGATATAATATCGGCTAATGCGGCTCGAGCTTTTTTTTTAACCTATACATGGTCGCATTTGGGACGCAAAACCCACTTGCTGCACCTACTTTCACCTCTTCGACCACATATTTACGGCCTTGTACAGCCTGTAATGTGCATCGTTTGAATATTCACTTCTTGTATATACCCTTGCTCTCCCGCCACCCCTGGGCTTTGCAGCCGTCAGCCCTTGGATTTTGTTTTCTTCTGTGTCTAGCACGACCAGAACACCGACACCCAGTCATTCGGCACCAAATGGCTGAAGGTAGCTCGTAATCGCATGCGCCCGATAGTCGGCCCTCCACGATACTCTTGGTAGCACTGCCGGCTCCCACGCTCGCCCGCGTCGTATTGCTTTTTGGCTCCGCACTTGTTTTGTATTGGGAATCCCCACAAAGTCGGCATTTTGGAAGATACCACCGTAGTCTGTTGTTGCGCCCCTCAATATTACATAAGACCAATTAAAAACACGCTCTCGCATATACAAGATTGTGTCAGTACATGGCTAATGTTCCGAGTTGTCTGGCGTTCCCAGTGTCGTACAGCTGCGCTCCCTCCTTTGGCGTCGCTAGCAGCATGTCTGTGGCGTGCTTACTCTGCCCCCTGCGTCGCCATAGCCTCTCGGGCGTCTCTCCACGGGCGTGGTGTACCTTACATTGGCGTATCGGATGGCTGCGTCCGGGTGCAGCCGGACGCCAGTCTAGTGACTTGTTTTAGCGTGTTGGAATACTTTTTGGAGCCTAGTTCGTCAGCACTGGTGTGAACCGATGATGAGGGCTGTCCCAGCACGGTTGTATGGGGCCAGTTGAGCAACAAAAAAGATCATATCGAGGCTCGGGCGTATTTTTGGGTGGGGGGAGGGTGCAGAACTAGACCTGAGCTGAAAAAAAGCACGGCATAGCTGGCTAAGTTGGTTGGCTAGTTAGTTGGCTAGTTGGCCGAGAGCGCCGCTTTATGTGAGCTCCGCCCCCCCCCCACTCCCTCCTCACACAACAACAACAACAACAACACGCTTCTTTGAACAAGAGAACAAAAAAAAAGCCACTTCTTCTCCCTTTTTCCCTTTTTTTCGGTAACTAGAGTAAGCCAAAATTCTATCTCACTGTCATGTGCAGAAAAGGCCAAAAAAAGAAAGAAGAAGAAGAAGAAGAAGAAGAGGAAAAAAAAACATATACTTGTAACCCCATCTGTGTATATATGTACATATGTAAATGTACATATATACGCCCTCTCTTTCTCAACCGCAACAACAACAACAACAACAACAACAACAACGAAGACAGTGGCAGCGGCGCGGGTAAGGCGACCTATGCGGCACTGTGTGGCGTACTTTGACCGCTAAGAAAGAGGCGATATGACCTGAGCTGACCTGACTGATTGACCTGATTTGACTTGACCTGACCTGACCTGTGCTAGAGGTGTGCGTGCGTGTGTGTGTGCACATGTTTCTGACAGCGACAGGCGACACGTGGTGGGGCATTGACATTGGTACTGGTACTGGCATGGTAGACATGGCATGGCATGGTCACCCCGTGGTACCCTGTGGTACCCTGTGGTTGTTTAGCGGCGGGGGACTGTATTCACTGTGTTCACTGCGTTCCTCATGGTTGTTGCTAGTAGGTATGTATATGTATGTACGTATATGTATGTAGAAGCACTAGAAATTCCCATGTACGAGACTAGTATTTGTTTCTTTGTCTGTTTTTTTTGTTTCTAGGCAGATAGATAGATAGATGGACGATCGATGACATGGATTCTAGCCTGTGTATGAGTGGATGGATGGGTGTGTGGGTGTGTGCCTGAGTCCCTGGGCCATGTAGCTATGTATGTTGTTCGGTATGTCTGTGTATGCATGTAATATTAGTTACCGAGGTTTTCCCCCCCCGATACTTATGTATTTTTTGTCGCAGATAGGCGAGGGAGTTCTAAGAATCTATATATATATATGCATATATATATGAGCTTCAAAACGTGGATGCCATCATTTTTCTTCTTTCGTTTACTGTCACGCAGTTGATTCTCTCTCTCTCTGCGCGCGCTATCATGACGCTTCTCCGTTGGTGTCGTCGTTGGAGCCATGTTTCTTTTAGGAAAAGCGTGCCAGCCAACCAGGCGTAAGTACACCATACCTAGTAAGTAAGAGTAACGAGGCGTCATTTTCCCTTCCTTCTTCCCTTGTCCCTAGTACTGTAGCAGGCTTTCGCGACAGAAATAGCTCTGCTACTAAGTATTACCGTTCACATGCATGTCGCGCATTCTTTCGGCCGACTAGAACCATTCTGGAATGCTGTGCCGCGCGTGTGTGAGATCAAGGCCGGAGATACGAAGGTGAAGTGATGTTAATAATATTATTATTTTTATTATCATTATAGCCGCGGTACATGTGTACACAAGGCGTAGTCGTCGTCATCACAAAAAAGAATGCGCCCAAAGCAAATTTCCGCTCTCCCACTCGCGTCTCAGCAAGTAACTAAACGAAGGAAGCGTCTATGCGTTTTGTTGTGGTGGTGGCCCTGCGCCACCAACAAAAAAACACGAGAGAGAGCGAGCACTACGGCCTCCGTCCTCGTATTCATCGGTGGCCCAAATGGGAAGGGGAGATTGGAGCGCCCTAAGGAACAAGCCAATCAGTCGTTTACGAAAGGAGCCCCAAAGAAAAAAGCAGTCATCGGGCTCGTGAGTGAACGCGCCACGCGGTTGTTCTTTACTTGGGGGGACCTGACGTGCTGCTTTGTGCCTCGCGAGCCCTTGAACGACGGGCCAAACCGGCCTTCTTTTGTCTCGGCTGCATGGTGCAATTTCCGCTTTGCGGGCTGTCCAGGTCAGCAATGTTTTGCGTGTGCCTGTGCACCAAGCCACAGCCACCATACTTGGCTGGCTCGCTAACCACGACGGGTACCTATGCCGTTTTTGCCGCCATTCCCTTCTTTTCTCTCTCCCCAAATTCTTTCTCTCGCACGCCCTCAGTCTTCTCTTTTTTTCTATTTACGTCGCCCCGCTTCATCCATAGATAACACCGTATTCTCGGGTCGCTCGGGAATTGGCTAGTCATGTTGCGCTGGAAAAGCTTATTTGCGCTTGGCTTTGTTTGATCCTCCCTGCGTGGTGGACTGTGAGTTGCTATTTTTGAGGTTTTTTTTTCTGTCTTCCTTCCGGCTAGACTGCTTTCTAGCTCTTTTCCCTTTCTCGTTGTTTATGCGTTGCGGATTTTCTCTCTGTTCCTCGGAGAAATCGGTCGGCTTTGGCGAGCAAGGTAACAGGATCGGGGTACACGAGAGCACGTGAGGACGTGGTGTCTTTGCCGTTGCCGTTGCCGTTGCCGATGTTGTGCCTGTGTTGCTGAGTCCTGGTGAGGGCGGCAGACTGGGCAGCAGGGAAAATGTTGCTGCTGCAGAGATGATGATGGATGAAAGTTGAGTGTGCAACGCGTCGTCATGGTTCGCAGAGGCTGCTGGGCCTCAATGAATAGGGAAAGCACCACTAAGAGCTGGATCTTGACATGTTGGAACAAGGCAGTCGCGATGCCAGCTCCAACGTGACTGCTACTCCTTCTGCACCTGCATGCGCCGCTGTTTCCATATTGGTCACGTTTGTTTACAGATGCCACACACCGCAAACGCTTTGCAAATCATTCACTTTGCAGAATACCTTCACCTTGTTTTGGTCCACACATGCGTGCTTGTTGTGGCTTTTGGCTCAATCACCTTTGCGTCTTGTCACTCATTACACCCGTCGCTCAATACCTTAGTAGCTGCACTCATCCACGGGTGCAGCGTCATACAACGTCACCAGTCATCCATCTGGACTTCACATCGGACACGGACACGGATACTGCTTGAGTCTCGAGATATACATACGACATCAGCCAACACCTCACAAGAAGTGCTTCAAGCTACTCGCGCCTCTTCGCCTCAAACAAGATGCGGGCCCATATCCTCTCCGCGCTTCTACTGCCAGCTTTGGTCATGTGCAGACTCATTCCCGCATCTGGATACGTGCAAGATACACAGGGCACTGGTGCCATGGCAGGACCAAGTCCAGCACCCACTCCTACCTCGGGCTTGCCTCTAGAGACTTTGATAGCCGACCAGGATAGCGTTGAGTAACTTTGAACTCAAACGCTGCTTTCACATGCAACTTGCTCACGCAAAACAGAGCCCGTCAAGTCCCAGCCATCGCTCCGGTCGAGAACGCGCCTGTTCTGCAACCAACGGCTGCTACCACCACTCTTTCAGTCACAACTTCTGTCCCAGCCATTCTACTTCCCGTCAACCCACCAGGGGTCGCTCCCGTCGATCCAAACATCGCTGTCCCTGTACCACCTGCGCCCATAGCAGCCCCAGCTCCAATCATCGTCCCTCCAGTCAATCCTGTACCACCACCAGTCCCAGCCCCTCTGCCTAATGAAATCCCGCCTGCACCTGCACCCGCCCCACCAGCTACGTCGACTACTGTTGCTGGATCACTCGCAACAGGACCGTTCAGCAACGTGCCCTTTGTTACCGTACAATGGGGTGAGACATTCATCGGCGGTACCTACTCGACCTGGGTACCATATACGATTTCCTTGGACTTCAAACCGGAAAGAACGGCGGCTCCGATTCCAGGAAAGGGAAATATCGGCATGGGAACACTGACAGGCGAGACTGGACAGACTCAGACGGTGGCGGTGGTAGAGGGTGCTGCTCCTACACCAGTCGCACGCTGGGCCAAGGGTGTTGCTGCCGTAGTCGGTGTAGGCATTGCAGGTGTCATATAAGCCAGGGGTTCAGAAGAGATAACAGCTACAGGCCTCGTCAGGGGGCGATGGAGAGGGGAGGTCGAGATTCGTCTCAACAGATGTAGCGTTGGACACGTCACTACGGCTTATGAGCTTTATGACTACGAGACAAACATTGTACGATAACGATATGAGAAAAACCAGGGGTCGGAAAAGAGGGTAGTTTCCGCAACGTCGAAGAAGTGGCTCAAGTCCGAGTCAAATGCGAGAGTCATGCTATTGTACCGTGCGTCGTGGCTCAGCGCTGGCAACGCATCACACCACCATGTTACGTCGAAAGAACAGGTAAGCAAGGTACATTATGCCAATCATCCAGGCATATGGTGAAATTTACACATGCAAACTGTTGCTGAGACGGACAATCACTCCAACACATAGCCTTAGAAGTGAGGTTTGCGCGAGAGGTGAGGCTCTTGAGACCCCGCACCTTGATCAAGCGCAGTGGCTGTTTAAACACGTCATGTTTTTCTTTGTCTCGTGCAAGAAAAACCTTGGAATCTTCATGTGTCGCAAAGTTCTAGCGATGCGACATGATCTGCACGTTGCAGGTAAGAAGACGCATATAGCAAAGCGTGGAGTGACCGCTCCTTCTTGGTGGCGCGACCTTCACGCATCCTGGTGACCCGATTGGACCCGATTTCTTATCGTTGGCGTAACCCGTAATCAAACAGTCACGTTTCCGGTAAACAACGTGATTGAGGCTGTAGTTTTCCATTTCTACTTATAAGACCAGCAGAAGACACTTGGCTCAATTGACTCATCAAAAGCAATAACACGACATACAACAGCACTGCCCGTTCCATAACGAAAGCCCATTATCCGATTGAGCAATTGGACGAGCAACATCCACAAGAACAACCACCAACCACCAGTTGAGACGCACAGTGCCAATACTACAACCCACGGATTGGTTGAAAAAGCAATCTCAATCTCAACAATACTCTGAAGATCATAAATACGACTGCAAAAGTCGAGAAAGAATTCAACAAGTCAACGAGCTTATCGAATTAATTTGGGAAGAAGAGAGGGAACTGACAAAAGAATGGCAACCTCAAACTACTATGCCATGCACTTCAATGCATGCCACATGCAAAAGTGCGGCAACACGCACGCACTACAATCAGAAGAACCACACATCACACAGCATCACCTCACACCCTCAAGGCCTCAGCCGATGGCCTCTCAAAATCAATCCATCCTGTTCCTTCTTCCTGCCGAACTCCGCAACCAAATCTACTACGAGCTCCTCTGCTCCAATACGCCCAGCCGCAAAGGACTGCACGAATACTCGCAGCAAAGGACACACGCCGCACAGCCCGTGTACCCGGCCATTCTCTCCACCTGCCAACGCATCCACCAAGAAGCCCAGGGCCTCCTCTACTCGACACACACATTCCACGCACATACGTCCCTCCTCACCAGCCTCCCACACCTCGTGTCTCCTCTAAAACCCATTGTCAATGCCTCAACCATTGCCAAAATCAGCCGCTGGCACCTGGACATCCGCCTCGACACCGATCCCCAATTTACAGAGGCCCAGGCCACGCGTGCCTTTAGCGGCGCAGAGTACCTGGAGATTCACGCCTGGCAGAGCCAGTTTGGCGGCTGTGACGATAGCGTCTTGAGCCTTTTCAAGGGCATCAGGGGTGTAAAGGTTGCGAGAGTGACGGGGTGTGCGGAGGCGGAATTGGCGAGGTGGCTGGAGGAGAGCATGATGATGCCGTTGGAAAAGGAGGAGGAAGAACAAGCACGGGACGTGGAAATGGGTGGTTGTGCCACGAGCGTTGGTGGCGGGTGTGAGGAGAAGATGGGAGGTGCCGAGGTGCCATGGCTTCAGCAGAGTGGAAGCGGCGCTTGGAATTTTGGGAATATAGAATAGAGTTTCTTTGTTCATGCATGTGGGGGTACCATGGGTATTGGTATACATGGATTTCGTCTACTAGAGGCGGGCTTTAGAATTTTAGATGGCTAGAGCTCTGGAAGAGCATCTAGAACAGTACAGAATTACTACCATTGTTTCTTTGTTCAAATTGTATGATTTGTCGCATGTTTGGTCGCAATACAGTCACTCTGTTAGTTATCGGCCTCAGCGATCGCTCACGGTTCTAAGCACCGTGTAGATGTATACCAATGGTTGTGAATGAAACCAGATGAGGATTATGGCCTGTGGATATAGCTCCTGACATGAATCGTAAAATAATACTACGTGCTCAGTTCTCTTTGTCAAGACATGGTGGTGCCGTCAAGAGGGCGTCCGTGGAGCAAAAGCCTGCAATTTCCCATGTGGAACGTCGATCTAGCTACAGTAGTTATCTGTAGATGATTTATACCTGCAATTGATACTTGAAAAGTCACCAATAATAGCCGTGTTGTTGGACATGCGTCAGAGTGACAAGGCGCAACCACAATCTCGAAATACCATTTTGGTCACGATGTGGGGCCGAGCTTGTGAAGCCTGACGTCCAAGTAATATCGCACAACCAGGCTCCCTCAGCAATCCACAACCCAACCCTCGCTGCTGCAATGCCGCGCCCATGCCAGAAACGGCGCGCGAGCGCGGCTGCAAATCGAAAGTCCAAATCCACCAAGCCAGAAGGCCCGCCCCCGATCCGACACAAAGCGCGACAAAAAGCCATACACAATGCGAGACGAGGTCGTGGAGGAGGACGCGGCGGTCGCGGAGGACAAAGAGGCGGACGCGGCGGTCAACAACAAAACTCTGGCGACCGCTTTTCGCAAAATCAAAGGAGACGCGCAGAAGAAGGAGAGCTGGACTTTAGACCCCTGAGTGGTGCGAATAATTTCGAGGTGCTGCACCAATCCAGGTCGGACTATGATATGGAAAACCGAGAAGATGGGGAGCTCAGCACAGACATGAGCGACGACAGCGACAGCGACATGGACAGCGATAGCGAGGGAGACTCGGACGAGCTTGACGACGAAGACATATCGATCAATATCGAGGAACAATGTTTCCCTGCCAAGATTAGCAAAACAAAGACACCCAGGCCAACAATCATGTTCACGGTACCCGCTGCAGTCGCAGTCTACGACAAAATGTACTTGTCTCGGTTTCCACTTACCACATTGGCCTTCCGTACGCATTATGGCCTCTTCCAGGAAGATGTCACACCAGACTCTGGCGCGTACATTTCGCTAGGGTCATCCGCAGCGTCTCGTCGATCGAGCGTCAGCAGTGCCACAAGCGATGGATCTGTTGTAGTAGAACAAGTCACAGCGACTGTTTCTGAGACATACAATCCTGCGCGCGACTATGTGTTTGACTGGGGAGTACATAGTGGCAAGCGATTCACCGAGGTCGAGGACAAGTACCTGCGTACAATCGGGGGTCAGCTATACAGATATACAGACAAGCATCCTGGCTTGCGGGAGGCTTTTGAGTATCACAGGCCAGGTCAAGCACGTCTATCGGCACCACCGCCTCAGTCCAAGCACACACAGGCCCATAGACCACAGCAAGCAAAAGCAAAACATTCATCACAAAGGCCATCGCGTTCAGAGAAGTATAGATTTCACAAAGGAGTCCATGAGGGCAAGCGATTGTGCGATGTCCCTGAAAACTACATACGGACGCTGGAGGGCAACCCACAAGTGCGGGATCACTGGCCTGGCTTACGCGAGGCCCTGAAAGACTTCAATGCGAAAACCGGTAGACGCAGTGTAGCATGATCATACAATGACTATCACCCATCCGCGGTGAACGCGACTTCGTGAAGCGTTTGCCAGTGGCCCAAGCGGCACTTTTGCGACTCACCAATGGACACTCACCTTGCCTCACCTTGCCTTTACCTGTTGTTTTGCCTCACTCATATTGCAAGGATCCACTTTTGTATCTCGTTGGCAGCGCGCTATCAAAGCGTTTTTTGTTTGCTGTCGTGGTATAACTCGCACGGCTTCGAGACTTTCGCCGACTTTTACCATGGCACCGAGTAGCAGCTCGGGAAACAATCGTACAGAGTCGACGTTTCGATTGCAGCTGAGGTTGCCCGTACACAAGAAACACGGTTACCAACCCGGTAAGATCACTGGAGAAGAACGCCTCCAGCACATTGCGACCAGGGCGAAAGACAAGCGACTCGCCAGTCTCGCCTCTTCTGCTGCTGCTGCAAACAACAACTTCAAACTCGCCGACTTGACGCTGGACGAGTCGGACGAGTACGACTCTGGAGACGACGTGATTGCCGAGTTATCGTAAGAGAGCAATACCCCACTCCTGTTGTTGTTGTTTTTGTTGTCTGTTTTCAAGTCTCAGAGGACAAACGACTAAGTCTTACCCATCTGCGCAGGAACAAGGCTCGCCAGTACCGCGAACAGGCACAGGAGCCTCCTGCTACTGAGGAGCCTCTCGAAGCCGAGGAGCCACCTGCAGTCGAGAAGCCTGTCGGACCCAAGGTGCCTCCTGCTCCAGCCCAAATGCCTCCCCACGAGGGCTTGGCCAAGAAGGTTTGGGAGTCCAAGCAGAAAATGCCGAAAATCGCTTCTGACACCGAGGATGAGTTGGACCACGGATATACTGATGCAGACAGCCAAGTAGCAGGGCCTGAGACCAAGCCGAGGAGGTCGAGGTTCGGTCCTGATCTCACTGATGACCACACCGAAGCCGCAAAGTCTGAGACTAAGCCAAAGACGGTGAGATTCGAGTCTGATGCCGAGGATGACCATGAGCGCAGCAGAGCATCAAGGCAATCGAGGCGTGGGGACAGGCCAGATACTTACAGGCCCACTTACGATACCAATAACAAGTCTAAGCGCGGCAAGGCCTATGGTCGTGGCAAAGCGCCAAAGCACAAATTCAACCAGAGGAAATCGAGATTCGGTCCTGATCTTACGGATGGCCATGACCGTGCAGAAGCTCCAAAGGGTAAGATCAAACAAAGAGTGTAAAAGATTTGGTTCTGACATTACAGATGACCGTACCGAAGCCGCAGAGCCTGAGGCCAAACCGAAGAGATCGCGATTCGGTCCTGACCTCACCGACGACCACGACCACAGCAAAGCGCCAAAGGGTGAAGTCAAGCAGAGGGCATCGAGATTTGGTCCTGACCTCACAGATAACTATGACGGTACCGAAGCCGCAAAGCCTGAGGCTAGGCCAAAGAGATCGCGATTCGGTCCTGATCTCACAGACAACCATGTCTGCACCGAAGCCGCTGGCTACACCGAAGCGCCAAAACGTGAGATCAAGCAGGCCAATTCGAGGAAACCCAGATTCGGTTCTGACCCCAACAACACCAACAACAACACCAAAGCCGACGACCGCGACAAAGCACCCAAGGCCGATGTCGAGTCCGAGTCACTCGCCCAGGCTATAGCCAAAAATTCACACCTCTACCCGCCCCAGACCGCCGACCACCTCGCCATCATGATGACGCCCGCACAAGCCATTGCTGCACTCGCTCGCAGCGCGTCCGCGTCGAACATCTCATACGACCTTCCCACAGGCGAGTATCTGTCGTATCCCGTCACGCGATCGTACCATCTGGGCGCTATGGGTCGCTATGGCCCCCCGCCTACCGATGTCCCTATGCCGCATCGTCCGGCTTCTGCTAGTGAGAGCCGCGATAGTACGTCGTCGTTGTCGTGCTCCAAGAGCAACGAGAACGAGAACAAGGACGACGAGGAAGAGGAAGAGGACGACTACGAGGACGAAGAGGACGAAGAGGATGACGACGACGACGACGACGAGGATGACGACGACAACTACGCATATTGGGACGACGACGGCAGCATGCCCTAGGCCGGTGAAAACCGCTCCCAGACACATCTTCTTCAACTGATGCCACACTCTCTCCAGGCTTTGTTTCTAATTCACCGGCTTCTAACAGACAAACAAGCAAAGTGTACGTATATTTAACTTGATTTCCTTTTCTTTTTTTTGTGATTTTTTTTCCCCTTCATCGGGATAAGCATGGGTTGGGATGGTTGGGACTGGGATATTGGATGTGTAATGGAAGTGAAGGAGTGGACGGCATACTTCGGAGAGAGAGACAGAGAGGAGAGAGGGAGAAAGACCTGGTCCCAACCTTCCCAGACATTCAACTTTCATTGTATTGCATAGCATCATGGTGGTATGCTCACTCAACCCACGAGCTAACCTTTCCCCTACCTACCCTTTGCATATCTGCAGGGAGGGAAAAAAAGATTCGAAAGAGTCCTATGATGGCTTTGAGGGGAGTGAGTGGGGGGGGGGGGGGGAAAGGAGTTACTTTTGTTTCATGGATGGCCGGTTGGCCCCTTTTTTTCTTTTTGTAATACACGACTACTACTACTACTGCTGCTGGTGCTGCTGCTGCTGCTGTTTGGCAGCTACATAGCTGGGCTGTTCTTGCGGGGGAATAATAATGACGATGACGAGGATAATATTCACGACGACGACGACAACAGCAAGCAAGTAATTCAAAAATCATTCAACACTCTCCCAGCATTTCCTTCGAGTCGCTTGATTATCTGTACAACTAAGTACGTACGTATGTTATTAGTGACGACGACAACAACAACAACAACAACAACAAACATGGTGTGATAAACAGGCTTCTAAAAATTCTGACTTGTACAACTCATTCCCCCATTTCCTCTCCAATCGCTTGTTTTCCTCCTCTAACCATCTTCCATGTTCTGTCTGTATCGTCATCAATCATGTCAAGAGACAATGCACACATACACAAACAAACACACACACACACACATGATTGACATGAACAACGTGACCAACGCTCTTATGCTCTCCGCCTCTTCTCTCTTCTCTCTCTCTCCCTCTCTCTCTTTCTCTCTCTACTATACGCCACCCCCACGTTTTGTAACTACATCTGTCGGTCGGCCTAGGGCCATACAAAGTCTTTCTATTAGATTGAAAGAAACTAGGAATCAAGTATATTCAAGGAGAAAAGTAAAAAAAAAGGACAAAAAAAGGACAAAAAAACATTAACCACACACAACGTCTCCTCCTGTAGTATATCTTTTTCTCCCAACTTGGTATTATAAAGACTTCAAGTATTTTTCACTACTTCCGGTTGATAAGCTTGCTTAGGCCACTCTTGCGCTTGTTATTGTTCTTTTCACGCTCGTCTTCTTCTTTTACGCGCGCATCCTCGGCAGCGCGCTCGTCCTTTGTGGGCACGCGTGGCTGTTCTGCGAAGCGGATGCCTGGAGTGCGTGGCGGGGATGAGAGTATCTTTTGGTTACTGGGCTCAGCAGTACCTCGCGATTGGGTGCCACGACCCGTCTCGAGAGGGTCGCCTGTTTCCACTTCATCCTCCGAGTCGGACTCGGGCGAGTCGTCTTTGCCTACACCGAGAGCACCGAGACGACGCTTGCGTTCTGCTGCTGTTTCGCCCTCGAAGCTGTCCTCGTCTTCTGGTTGGTGAAGCGGTCGTGAAGAAGTCGTAGTGGTACTAGTATCACGAGGCCCTTGGCTTGAGGACTGTTTTGCAGCTTGCTGTCTTCGACGCTCTGCAGCCGTCTCACTGCTTTGGCCCATTGTGTAATTTTCTAGATCCTGGCGTACCGGGTGGAACGGGACGTATTCGTTGTTGCTGTCGACAAGCGTCAGGCCGTCAGGGCCACGTGCATTGCCGACCTCATCTGCTGCAGGGGACTCGATCTTGTGGAGCTCGGCCTCGCCTTGCTCGCCTAGAACCGGAGGCACGTTTGCCTGCGCAGAAGCGGCTTGACGGCGCTGTTCGCTGGTGTGATCTTGCGCATCCTTCTTTGCGGCGTCCTTGACGGCCTCTGGAACGTCGCTGTTTTGCACAAACTTTGCCCGGTCCTTGGGGTTCATTTGTACCATTTGCTGGATAAATTCCAATTTGCTCATACGACGCCCACCAGCCGTTACCGTGAATCGAAGCTTCTCGTCGTCTTGCTCCTCTTTGGCGGCTGCCTCGGCTGCCTTCTTCTTCTTGTTGCTTGTGGGCTGAGTGCCAGAAGGTCCAGCTTGTTGAGTGGTGGGGACGCCCATGTGGGTTCCCATGCGCTTCAGACTCTGCACTGCACGACTCGGACCTTCCGCCGCAGACTGGCCATTCTTTCCTTTTTTCGGTGCTGCTGGAATGTCGTACTTCTTCAAGACCTCTCCATCCTCGTCTTCAACAATAATGGTGTTACCATATTGGTACGCCAGGGCGGGACCAGGTTTATGCACAGGCTTCTCAGCCTTTGGAGGTTCTGCTGGCTTGCCATCCTTGTGGACGCGTCCCGAGAAACTTTGCATCCGAGAGCGCCAATTCTTGTGGGGATGCTCAGTTGTGTTACCCGGCGCTTGCTCGGCTGTGCTACCATGTTCTTGTTGAGATACACCCTGCTGCACGTCCCTCTCCTTGATGAGCTCTGCTCCTCTCTCAATGTCGTGTCTCCTTCTTGCTTCACCGTGTTCGCCATGGCTGTCTCTCACGCCCAGAACATTGCCTTCTTTATCTTCATAGACGGTCTGGTGACCTTCCTGGTAGATTTCTTCTTCGGGCTGACGCATCTTCACCTTGTCCTTTCCGTTGGACGAGCTCGAACTAGAAGCGGCCATTGCATCGGCAAAAGTATCTGTGTCCTGTTCGGGTGGTATCGCCTCGATCTTTTCCTCATCGCGTCTGTTGGGTGCAATGGCAGATTGGGAGATGGGACCGCCAGGGCCTCTGCCAGCGTCCCAGCGTCTGCCTCGACCGGTCGGCTTCACCGAGCTCGCACGGCTTGGATTATCCTCCTCCCTCTGACGGCGCAAGAACGAGCCAGCGAAACCCGTTGCCGCCGCGAAATCAGACTTTTCATCAAAAGAAGATTCAGAGGGGCGACGAGCCATAGAAGATCTCGAGCGCGATTGAATGCGGGGAAGACGGTCCATCCAGCCAGGTCCGTTCTCATTGCCCTGTGTGTACGACATGGATATCGTCAGGGTGTTGATGCGCTTGCCGAGGGTGAAGACAGCAATCGAACTGCCATGGACGATGATACTAACAATGACGAGGAAACAGGTAATGGGCCATATCGCCTCAATGATGTTGAGATGCTCAGAATTCTCCTCGCCAGGCTTGGGCAGTTCGGCCAAGGGCGACGTGGTATCGGTCTCGAGCTCGGCGCGCGCAAGAATGGCAACGAACAAACCACCGACGCCAATGGGTCCAAAGTGTCCAGCAAAGGACGCTTCGCGCCACGTTTTCAGATCCGGAATAACGGGCTTAAGCATCAACATGACGGGGATGCGGCGGAAGAAGAGCACCAAGATACCAAGGACTACCAGACGCCAGGGCGTCAGTCCAATGCTCGGGGCGTTGAAGAGCTCCCAGGGGATAATGGAGCCAAAGTAGACGAAGAAGGCCAAGTTGATGAGCAGGTCAATGACGTTGGAGACATGCGACTCTTCCGTCTTTTCCAAGAACCAGCCATCGTTGGAGAAGCCTACACCGCAAGCAAATCCAATGAGCAGGTCGTCCATGCCCAGGAGCGAGCCTGAGCCAGCACAGAAGAGCGCCAGCACAAAGTAGAAGACAAGGAAACTCTCTCGGTCAATCAGGTCATGCTCATGAGCCATTCTAATAGCACGCCTTGCAATGTATCCAATTATCACCCCGTAGATGGCACCAAAGATGCACTCGTACAGCACTGTAATGCAGAACCAGTGGAAGGCCACTTTGCTGGCATCGGGTCGGTAATGAAGAAGGTAGATGGCCAGGTACACAAAGGGAAAGGCCATGCCATCGTTGCAGCCAGATTCGCAAGACAGCAAATCTCGCAGATGCTTTGGGACTCGCTTCGCAAACTTGCCCTTACCGACAACTGACGAGGCCAGGACAGGGTCAGTGGCCGTGACACAGGCTGCAATGCACAGGCTGTCGAGCCAGTTGAGATGCGAGTGGAACAGGCCCCAGATGAACAGGCTGGTTATCAGCCAGCCAAAAGTCATGACTGGCAGGAGGAGCAGGACGACCGACTTCCAATGCTTCTCCATGTATGCGCGCGGCAACTCAACACCCACGGCAAAACACTGCACGACGAGGACAATGCGCGAAAACTCTAGAGTAATCAGATCGACATTGCCCCAGGTCGAGGGGTCAATGAGATTGGCAGCATGGGGGCCGAAGATGATGCCACAGATGGTGGCGACGGTAGCTTCACCAATGTACAGGCGTTCCTTGATGACGGAGGAGCACAGCATGAACAGGCTGGTGAAGCCGCCGAGGATCAGGTAGACCAGATGTGGCTTGGTGATGGAGAGATGATCCCACGCCATGATGGTTTAGCGCGGCGGTGATCTGCTCTTATCTTGAAGTGTATTCTCGGGTCCGCGAGTATGGTTCGTGCCCAGGCGTCTGCAACGACGGGAACGCGACGCAGCAGCGGTGTGGGCAAACGAGGGAATGGCGAGCGAGGGCTGGTTAGGTTGGGAGGACGGAGGCGCCGGGGCCGCGTTTGCGCTGTCGAGAAGGTCGGCCAAGGGAGAGGAAAGATGGTTCCGTCGCCGGATGCATGTATTTGAGGATCCGCCCAGACGCCGGTCCTTGACTGCCGTGTAAGGCGGGTGACGTCGAGTGTGTCTGTGTGGGGCCGTGGGAGAGAGCGCGGTCCGCCTTTGCGAGCGTGTGTGCGTCGACGACGGGTACGGGTACGGGTACAGGTACGGGTACCGTGCCAGAGGCGCTCCAGTGCTGCGACGGGTCAGAAAGCTGCGGGTGCGAGAGGAAAAAAATCAAGAAAACCCAAGCCCGAGGCTTACAGGAACAAAGCTGGTCTGGGCGGAGGCAGCCGAAAGCTTGGATGGGGCGTGGTGGTGTGGGCGCGCGCGTGGTGGTTGGTGGTTGGGTATGGCGCAGGCTGCGGTGCACGCTTCCTTCTCAGCGCACGCGGTGGAAGAAACAAGGTGGCGGTTCGCGCTCGGGGTGCTGGTGGTGATTACGCCTGACCGCGCTTTGGTCGGGTCAATTGCAGCTGGACGTGCACGAGTCGGGCGGCAGAGACGACGACTATAATACGATGGCCGTTTCCGCCAGACTAAAATGCTTGGGGCTTGGCAATGACGTTAGCCTTGGCCGGCACGGGGAGACAGGTCGCCTATCCCGCGCCACAGAGACGCCCGTCGCAACTGTTCGCGACTCCCGACCGTGGGCGGCCGACAATTGACCGAGAGAAGTGCCGCCTCTCGACGCGCGAGGGCTGCGGGCGGTGTTGTGAGGACGGCTGCTGCTCGAGGAAGATGCCCGAGAGAAATTGGCGATGCCGGCCCTCAAAAGAAACAATGATAAAGGCCCGGTCGAGGCCGTATGTTTCAAGAGGCTCTCCGCTCCGATAGGCCGCTTTGCCCGCCTTTTCTAGCTGCTTCCTGTGCGTGCATGTCCTATATGTGTCTGTGTAGTATCCATGTACTGTGTGCTTCGTCTCGTCAATCTCGACGCATTCCCTGCGCCTGCATGCAGCGTCACTTGACAAAATATCCTGCACGCAGCTTATCGCATCATGTCCAGCAATCATTACTGCATCCTGTGTGCCGCTAACACACGATTCGCGGGGTTGCCGTTACTTTTTGCCTCGGAGCCGCTCCCAACGGCCAAGTCGAATAATGCTCAATGCCACTCAGCAGTCGCCATGTATTCCTTGTGTCTCTGGGCTTCTTGGGTGCTTTCAGCCGTGGCTGTGGTAAGGGTGCATCTGTGAAGAAAGAAAAAGAAATCAGCCTGGTGAAAAAAAAAATGCTTGCGAGTCCATATGCGGGTGATTCTTCGGCATCAGGTTAAAGTGGGGGCGCGAGTCAAGCCACACCGCAAGCACGCCACGATCCGTGCCACAAGTGCATTCGTGCTCGTTTCGCGTGCCAACAGACACCAAGCAAAGACCCTGGAGAAAGAAAAAACGACGGCAGCCCATGCAAACCCAAGATCTGTTCTCGGAGCTTATGGATCTGGGCATTCCGGCTAGTCATTTTCCAACGCCGTACAAAGTGCGACATCTGGACCCTTGCATATCCCATCTAAGCACACGTCCCTGCATTGACGCTTCATACCCACATTGTCCGAGCTCCCTTACTACTACAACACCAACACCATGCCCATCCCAACCCAAGTCAGGCAGCAACTCACCGGATTCCAATTTCACAACGCAGCACAGCAAACAAGCAAGCAACCCCCTTGGACAAAACACCTCCCCCTTTGGGCACCATTCTCCACCTCCATAGTAACCGCTCGCCCCGTTTTTCATATTCGCATCTCCAGACAACACACACACACTCCAAGCACGACAGATCCCACATTCACCACCGAACAACAGCACTTTGCTAGAGCAGAACTCTCGCTTCGCTTTCTTCCATACCACCCTCCCACAGACCATGTTACACTCTTACTCGACATCCATCCATCTGCCCCGTTTAAAAATAACTCTCTCTGCGAACCACATATCTGCGCCTGCATATAGACGCAGCACCAAACAAACAAATAGACTACCAGACAGCAAATAAACAAACAAGCGGCACCAGCCGTCGCTATAGCGAGTATCCCCGGTCTTACCCAAAAAGGGGACCAAGCACAGATGTACATAAATGTGGGGTTGTACAGTGGGCGAAAACATACACAGGGATACCTCGTCGTCGAAATGCTCAAAAGGGGGGGGGTCTGAGGTAGTGTAGTGTCTCGATACGTGTCAAGTATAGCGCGTGGTATGTTTTCTCGACTAACATGCCGTAACTACGCCCTTATTGTACACCTATAGTAAGCGGAGTGTGGAAAGGTAAATATGTGGAACCGGTGAAAGGAAAAATAAACGAGTTGCATTTTTAGAGAGAGAGAGAGTGTGCGTGTGACACACACACACACACAGAGAGAGAGAGAAAGGAGATAGTCATCGTAAACCATCATGACTTTGAAGCTGGAAAAAAGTTGGCCATGCATCACCAGAAGGGTAGAGCTCCATCTCTAGGGCAAAGACCTAGAAAGCTAACATGTACCTCCTCGAGTGGTCATCTACATATCTACATATATACATACATATATACACAAGGAACCATGATACCAAGAATCCAGACCCTCCATCCCCATGCCCACATCCGCCTCACAAAAGCCCTATTCAAATCATTGGCCACCAACCTCTCCTCCTCACTCCCATAGGCGAGTACACCTAGATAGGCGAGTAGATAACCCTCCCGCCGATCCACATACATCCCTCCTTCCTCCCTTCCCCCCCCCCCCCCAAAAAAAACGCAAATCTACACTCTCTCCCATCCAAAGCCTCGTTTTTTTTTCACCGACACCTACGTATAGTGTACGAACAGGGGGGGGAGGGAGAACCCCCGTACACACATACACATATACATACACATACACACATACGTCATAGCCTAACTGGGGCGGCTGTGTGTGTCTATGTGTGGGTGAGATGAGATGAGATGAGATGAGGCGCACACACACACATACACACCGGTTTTGTTGCCCTATTTCGCAAACATTAAGCCTTGCTATCGGACCGAAGAGGTTGCCCCCCACCCGCCCTTCCCCAAAAAAAAATTAGAAAGAGAGAGATAAACAACAAACACAACTTTTTCGGGCAAGCCGCGCGATGCTTTGCTCTGCTCTGTTCTTGGCGAAGGAAAAAAAAAGATATGCATACGCACACACATGACGATTTGCAGACGATCAGAACATGCGGGGGAAAACAAGTATTTTTTTTTCTTTCTTCTCTTTCTTGTTCAGATGATAAGGGAAGATATACACATGTATTGGATGATATCGAGGAATAAAGTTTGAACAGGAGATATTGACGACCGGCTGACTTGGAAGGGGGGGGGG